GTCATTGTGTATATTTCAATTTTTTTAAAGTCCTAGTAAATAGATTTTACGAATTTCATTAAAAGTAAAATATTTTGCAACCACGCACACTAAATACGTACCAAAATTTTTTTTTTTTAATTTTTTAATTTCCAAAAATCATAAACAATTATATATCGGTTTTACTTGGATTTTTTAATTTTTTTATTTTATATCTTTTTGTAAAGAAAAAACTGGACTTGGCGCTATTTTTTTACTATGAAACAGTGAAACTGTTTTTGTTCGGATATTTAAATAAACTGGCGCTAAAAATATATAATAATTAAATAAATTAATTTTTTATTAATAAATTTTATACTTTTTTATTAAAATCATTCAAATTATTTTTAATATTTTTTTTAAAAATAAATTTAAGTATTCTCGAAAATTATATATTTTTTTCATTATCTTTTTCCCGAAAATTAATTATAAAAATGACTCATATCCTTATCATATTGTCACGTTAATATAATTATAATTACCCTGGGATCACAATAGTTTTTATCATCCAACACGTGAACAGTGACGTGACATATTTTATTTTTTTTATTCCACCAAATAGAGATATTTACTTATACAATTTGGTTATTCGTGGCATTTTTTTGTCTTACTCATACAAACTAGACTGAGCGACAGTGGTGGGGAGACAAAAAAAACACCGGAAGCTCTTAATATAAATATCTCTGGCAGTATATACTTTATGAAATATTGTAGTATTTAGTCATCATGTTCAGTGACAAGTTTTCAATTTTTATTATATTTTTTGGATTTTTCTCCAGTATTTTGGTATGTAATATATTTATTTTAAGTAATATTAAAGGTATTAATTAATATTATTTTTCAGGCAGGAAATAATGCAGAAGCTTCAGGAATTGTTAATCTAAGTGGAAAAGATTTTGGAAATTTTGATGTACTAAATGTTAAAATTAATAATCAAAATGGTGAATCTGAAAGCAAAAAAATTATTGTTAATATTGATAATTTAAATTTGACTGTTGATTCTACAAAAGGAGGAATTTGGGTTTATTTAAAAAGCCAAACTAATTATGATAATAAGTATTATAAGGTAATTTTATTCGTTATATATCAGATCCAATTTATTAAATAATGAAGTAAATTCAGGTTATAAAGATCATCTCATTTTTATGTTGATTAATTATACATTTAATTCCGATTTTTTTTTTTTTAATACGTTATTTCGCCACTAACCGTGGCTTCTTCAGGCATCGTCTACAAACGACATACCATATATTATTACAACCTTATTAAACATTTGCATTATAAAACAATAAACTTCCTCTAGAGCTTTCTTGAGAAAGTTTTTTAACACAAAACATAGTTATTATTTAAATACCATCATACAATAAAATTAAAATGAATACCTTAAAATCAATTCGTGTCAACATAAAGTCAATCGTACTATACCAACTCATAACCACAAAAAAAATTACCACGTGTCAGCATACTCAAATTAACTTTACTACAAAGAATTATCTTCAAGAATAATAATCCATTCTTAAATCATTATTATATGGTAAAATAATAATTAATCTGCTCTAATTCTTGAAAAAACCAGTTTAAACAAACTTTATAATTTAAACTAATTACTTAAACAAATCTAGTCAAATCCTACGTTTATAAGTCATCTTCTCCAAGTGTACTATACTAAATGCTGTTGTGTAACTTGCTGTAATATATGTATATATCCTATTGACTTCACTATATACTTCTAACACCAGCGGAATTAAATGTATAATTATTAATCAACATAAAAATGAGATGATCTTTATAACCTGAGTTTACTTCATTATATTATAAGGTAAGTTTAATTTTTTTATTAAATAAATTTTTTTATGGTATTAAATTAATATGACTAATTAAAAGATTTTTTTGACAAATAATTCTTCCCAAAATTCTATTTTTTATTTTTTAATGTTAATTTTTTTAATAAATTAATTTTTATTTATATAATTTTAAGATTCCAAAAGTCTCAGTGGACCCATCATCAGAAAAAGTCTATAATCTGGACACAAAATCTCTTTCTTCTTTCAATATTCTTAACATAACCTTATCCCCTGACGTAACAAGTCCTGAAAGCAAAAAGAAGATCAACGTGATAATCAACGACATGGTCGTAGTCCTCGACACCAGGAATTATATAGCTTTGTCTATGAAAAGCACTAAAGACATTAATAATAACTACAACAACATGATCATCAACGGCAATGGGATCTTTATCGGCTCCAATAATAATAACAACAATGGGATTTTCTTCAGTACTAGTAACATTAATAACATTAACACCCACTTCCACTGGGATGGCACTTCATTTTCTAATTTTAACAGCGAAGGTGACAATTTTGATAAAGAAGAATTTGAAGATGACATGAACGAGATGCAAGAAGATATGAAAACAATGGGGGAGGATATGAGGAGAGATGCACTTTTTGATAGAGAAGAATTTCAAGATGACATGAACGAGATGCAAGAAGACATGAAAACAATGCGGGAGGATATGAGGAGAGATGCACTTTTTGATAGAGAAGAATTTCAAGATGACATGAACGAGATGCAAGAAGATTTAAAAGAAATGAGGGATAATATGCAGGGAGATAAAATTTTTAATAGAAAAGCTTTTAATAAAGACATGAATGAAATGCGAGGGAGTATGAAAAGCCATCAAGAAGAATTTAATAATAATATGGACCAAATGAGGAAAAATATGAAGAAAATGAGGGTCAATATGCGAGAACGTTTCCCTTGGTATCGCCAGTGGAATTAATTTTGTATTTTGATAAATAAAATATGTAATTTGAGTCAATAAAATTATTCTCTGCAATAAAAACAAAGTATTTGTCCAAACGCGGCCTTTCTAGCTCTAAAAACTCTGGTTTTAATCAAAGTACTAGCGAGAGCGCCACGCCACCTTTCGCCACCTATTGAGTATTCCAAGAACTAAAAAAATTTTTTTTTTTCTAAAATTAATTTTTTTATTAATGTAAAATTCAAATAAATATTTTTATGATTTAATATGAAAATATTTTAAAAAATTAAAAACGATTAAAAATAATATTAGAAATTTAAAATGATGTAATTTTCCATCCATATTACTTAAAAATTTATGATTTATGAATAATTTAAAAATGCCAATAATATAATAATAATAATAATAATAATAATTTTGATTACTTTAACAGTTCCATCAGTGAATACGTTAATAATGATTAATGATAGATGCAGTCACCTTCATCCTCAGTATTTATTAAGTGTTATCATTTTTAGCATCGAGTCATTATTAAAGTAACTTTACGCGAGCTAACTCTTTATCGAACCAGATAATTTTTATTAAAAAATAATCATGGAGCTTAATATTTTTATTTTCATTTTGGATTATTTTGCAGTATTAATTATGGTGAGTATTAATTTTTTATTTAAAATATTAAATACACTTTAATTATAATTTCATGTTTATAGGCTGTTGGATCAGGAAACGTTGTCAATGTAAATAATGGAAAAGATTTTGGAAATTTTGATGTTCTGCAAATGTTAAAGTTAACAAAGACGGTCAAACTGAAAAAAAAAAAAAAAAAAATAGTAACTGTTAACATTAATAATTTAAATTTGACTGATGTTGATTCTACAAGAGATAATGGAGTTTGGGTTTATTTGAAAAGCAAAAATAACAATGGAAACAATAATAGAGTAAATTTAAATGTTTATAATTTTTTTTTACAAATAATTGACTATAATTAAAAAAATTCTGAAAATTATAATAAATTAATTTTTATTTATAATTCTCAGCGAAATTTAAGAATCCCAGTGAACCCATCATCAGAAAAAGTTCACACTCTGGACACAAAAATCCTCTCTCTTCTTTCGACATCCTCAATATAAACTCACCCCAAGACGTAACCAGCCGTGAAAGTAAAAAGAAAATCATCGTGATGATCAACGACGTAGTTGTGACCCTCGACACAAGAAATTGCGTAGCTTTTTCGATGAAAAATACCAAGGACAACAACAATGGCGAGTTCTATAACACTTGTGACATTAATAACATATCGACGACCTCTATTTCCACTGGGATGGCGCTGGGTTTTCTTCTTCTTACGACGATTTTTATAAAGAAGAATAATTTGACAAGGACATGAAAGAAATGCAAAGAGGATATGGTGACGGATTTAGGCTTGATGCCGCCCTAATAGGCCCTGTTTATCGCGCCGCCCTTAATGTTAAAATAAATTCAATAAATTTTTATACAATGTTTTTATTCTAAATTTAAAATAACTTTATTTCGTTAGAATATAATTTTTAGTTATAACTAATAAATATTTCAGATATATATGTAATAAACGTTAAAAAAATAAATAAATATGTTTTTTGTTTTAATATTAATCAATTTTAAAATTTCTTTTTCCTGGCTTTGGTACGCGCAAAAATATCAATTATATCATCATACTCAATTTCTTGAACTAGTTGAGCTTCAATAGACAATAATGCAAGAGCATTAAGTCTATCTTAAGATAGACCCATACTGGCACGTAAATAGATTTTTACTTTTTTTTAAGTAGAAAAAGATCTTTCTATCCTGAACAATTTGTAGCTGGAATACATACTCAAAAAAATACGTAAAGCAATATCAACATTTGGGTAAACATCTCAAAGACTACGTGAGTGTAATACATTGCATATAATATATTTTGTACAGAGCGTACATCTTCCGTATTTGCTGAAGAATCTTTAAATTGGTAATGTAAATGAATACATTCGTTGCCTAATGTCTCTTCTAAATCGTCAGGATACTTGTCGACTAATTTATTAGCAAGATTTTTTAATTCGGTTGTATCTATTTCAGATAAATTATCGAAGAAATTAAATTTTTCGTAAAGCTTTTATTCATATGCACTTTTACGTCCGGCCAATTGCACTATCAGAGTATCTAAAATAGGGTAATAAACATTTGTGCGAAAATTTTCTTGTCCAGAAGATAGTATTTTCTCATTTACCCGTGACTCATCTGGCTGAATTTTTCTAGTTTTTTTGCGACGTGTATCATAACGATAATAATCTTGGACGCCAGATAATGTTTTGGCTTTTTCTTCATATTCAGAAAATTGTCTGTCTCTCATGTCCTGAAGAAATAGAGCCAGAGAACTATAGATCTGCACAACGGATTCTTCTGCTTTTCTTTTACGATATTCTGCACCACTAAGTTTTTTTCGGTAGCCACTCATATTCAATTAAAAAATAAAATCAGATGAACTATGACCGGATTATAAAAAAACACCACTAACACCTCATTTAAAGTTATCAATCAATTATTTTTTTAATATTAAGAAACAGAATAAAATGATTCGAGACTTGTAGACATGAAGAGCATTTGTAAGATTGGAACGATTTCTGTATTTTTTTCTACAGCGCGATGCTTTGTTTTTTGCATTAAAAAAAAACAAAGTCAAACGCGTCAAGACCTCTGTTAAGCGTAGCGGTCTTGTTTTGAGTTTACGATCACATAAATAAAACACTCATAAAACAAAATTCTTTAAATGTTCATTTATACTTATAATAAACACATAAATGTAACTATATATGTAAACTGGTTTAATATATATCAGCTTAGATAAATAAACTTAATGACTTTTCATGAAAAATTATTTATGTTAATAGTAAATTTTCTGACATTTAAATAAATACCGCAATGATATTTAATACGTGCATATCTTCTTTTTATTTAAAGTTAAAAACAAAATTGCGAAATTATTAAGATTTAGTAATTTTCAAAAGCTTTGTAAGCATATGATTAATTTCAGTAATAAAACAAAAAGTAAAGAACATCATTCGATAAAGACTATAATTGATGTTTTAAAAAATTAAAATCTTATTCATAGACTGAAAAGTAAATAAAAAAATTGAATTATAATATATTCCAGAGAAAATTTTTTACAAAAATTAATCTGAACTCATTTTCAAAGGAGACTACTGTCTTTATTTTTTTTTTTTTCGTCTCTGAAATTTTGGAATTTCAAAAATTTCGCCGCCCCTCAAATCATACCGCCCTAGGGCCCGGGCCTCGCGGGCCTAGGCGTAAATCCATATCACTGCAGTGGATATGAGGAGAGATAAATTGTTAGCTAGAGAAGCTTATAACAGAGATATGAAAGACATGGAAGAAAATATGATAAGAATGGAGAGAGATATGCAGAGAATAAACGAAGATATGCGAAAAAGTTTCCCTCGATATCGCAAGTAGAATTAATAAATTTCTGATAATCAAAATATGTAATTTGAGTTTATATAATTATTCTCTAGCTAAAAATAAAACTTTCTGTCCAAACGCGGTCTTTCTAGCTTTAAAAACTCTGGTTTTATCAAAGTACTAACGAGAGCGCCGCGCCACACTTCGCCATCTATCGACAATTCCAAAAACTAAATGTTTTTTTTTTTTTATTTAGTAAAATAAACTATACTTTAAAAATTAAATAATTAATAATTAAAATATATATGTAATTTGAGTTAATAAAATTATTCTCTACAATAAAAAGAAACTATTTGTCCAAACGCGGTCTTTCTAGCTTTAAAAACTCTGGTTTTATCAAAGTACTAGCGAGAGCGCCGCGCCACTCTTCGCCACCTATCGGGAATTCCAAGAACTAATTTTTTTTTTTTAAATTAAGTATAAAATAAATTATACTATAAAAATTAATTAATAAATGATTATTTAAAAAGATTGAATGAATTTTTAATAAATAGAAAATTCAAATAAATATTTTTAAAAATTAAAAAAGATTAAAAACTATATTAGAAATTAAATAATGTAATTTTCCATCGTGCATAATAATTCAATAATCAAACAGAAGATTCTCGAACTAAGAATATTAAATCAACTCAAGTGTTTCTTATATAAATTAATAACAATTAAAAATCTTTTGTTATTATAAATGAGTAATATTTAAAAATTGAGTCAATAAAATTATTCTTATTTAAAAACTGATCGTAATAATTATGTTTACAAAAATATACAATTTTAGTGTGTCATTACTTGGAAATTCATGATATATGAATAATTTCAAAATACCAATAATAATAATAATAATTTTTATTATTTCAACTGTTTTGCTGACAATAACAGTTTCATCAGCGGACACGTTAATGATGCATCCAGTCACCTTCATCCTTAGTATTTAAGTGTTATCATTTTTACCATCGAGTCATTATTTAACTAACTTTACGCGACGAGCTAACTCTTTATCGAACTCGAGTTTTAATTAAAAAATAATTATGAAGTTTTATATTTTTTTCATTGGATTATTCTGCAGTGTTATGGTGAGTATTAATTATTTAAAATATTAAATATATTTTAATTAATTTTATTAACTTTATTTTTAGGCTGATTCAGGAAAAGTTGTCAATGTAAATGGAAAAGATTTTGAAAATTTTGATGTACTGGATGTTAAAATTAACAAAGACGAAACTGATAGTAAGAAAATAGTAATTGTTAAAATTGATAATTTAAATTTAACTATTGATACAACTAGAGGAGGAGTTTGGGTTTATTTAAAAAGCCTGAGTAATAATCAAAATTACAATTCGGTAAGTTTAAAAATTTTTATAAAAATTTTCTTTTACTATAATTAGTAAAATTTAATTTACAGATCCCGAGAATTCAAGTAAGCGCTTCTGAAAAAGTTCACACTCTAGACACCAAAACGCTCTCGCCCTTCGACACCCTGGTCATAACCTTGCCCACAGACGTGACCAGCCTCGATAGCAAAAAGAAGATCAACGTCTTCATCAACGACATAGTTGTGGTCCTCGACACCAGAAACTGGATATCTTTGTCCATGCAAAACTCCAAGAACATCTTTAATAATAACAATAGTGTCTTTTATAGCTACAACGACGGAAACAATATTGATGTCGAGTACCACTGGGATGGCGCTGGAGTCTCCTACTCCTACAGCGGAGGCAGTGGACATTTTGACAAAGAAGCATTTGACAGAGGAATGAAACAGCTCGAAGATTCTATGAAGAAAATGCAGGACAATATGCAGAATAGTTTCCCCTGGAACTGGTCCTGGAATTAATTTGTTAATAAAATTATTCTATAGCTAATAATAAAACTTTTTGTCCAAACGCGGTCGCTCTAGCCCTAAAAACGCTAAAATTAGCAAAGTACTTGCGAGAGCGCCGCCCGACTTTTCGCCACCTATCGGCAATTACAAAAACTAATTTTTTTTTTTTTTTTTTTTTTTTTTTTTTAATTTAATTTAATAATATAAAATGATTATTTGTAAATTAATAAAATTTAATTGAGAAAAATTAGAAATATTTTTAATTTGAAAACACCTGTCTAAACATTTAAAAAAATTTATTAGGAAATTGAATTGATAAATATTGACACCGATTTTAATTCTCTCAGCCAGCTGTGTTACAAGTGCATAAAAACTGATCAATTTATATTATTTTTATTTTATATCTAATTGATCAAAAGACCTTGGGAATTTTTTGTTTGTTCACTTGTAGTGTTATCTGTTAACTGAAATAATGATAATAATAATGATTATGAATGTCTATTTCTAAGTATAAAAGTTTACGCATTAATCGTTAATAATTATTATACAGTTAACTAGTGGAATTTTTGTAAAACGTTTTTAGAATAAGATGATACGAAAATTTTTGTATTTTATTTTTGTTGCGACAGCTGCGTCAAGGGTAATTATTTTTATTTTTTATATTAACAAAAACTTTGGAAATTAATAATGATGAATCAAAAAATGTTTTAGATTTTTTTTTTTGGAATTAAAAGAAAAATTTTTCATTGAATGATTATAATGATTAATGATTAATCATTAATCAATTTCCAATATTTTGATATGGAAAATTCCGTATTAATTAATTAATAATTAATTAACAGGCTCTTGAAGAACAGAACAACGAGTTATCGCTGGAATTGCCAACACTGGCTCCATGGAATCTTACAACTCCAAAAAATGTAACCTCCGAATTAATTAATTCGATTAACGATGAGGTTATTCTAATTAATTCCAATAACGAGCCGGTTAGTGAAAAATCCGATGAGTACTACTTCTACAATCATATTAATGTACCAGATCCAATAATTAACACAACAGAGTCATTAATTAGCATTAATCAGTCAGATAACGGAATAATGGTTATAATCGATTAACGGCTCCGCATCCTGTCATTAATTATGCGTAGAATGACTCTATGCTATCAGCAGAGGAAATTAATCAGTTTAATGGAACGACTATTGAGATTTACAAACTGATTAACTTGACTAATGCAATAGAATTTGCCAAGTATGAGAATAAGATATGGTTACAGACGATTAGTGAATTGGAAAAAAGGATTAATGAAGGACTTAATAAGTATAACGTTCCTTTAGTTAGAACTAAACACGACCCTGACGTTAATGGAACAAGTCTAGGAACAGTGAATCGGATGGTATCAGGAGAAATTAATGGAAACTTTTTTGGATTTAATAACGAAACAGTTCTTGGAACACTTAACGGAACAGTTCTAGCAGCAGCTGATGGAACTGTTCTTGGAACATTCAATGGAGTCATTGTTGGAATAATAAATAGAACGACTTCGGAAAACATTGATCAAATGGTTCTAAGAACAATAGACGGAACGGTTCTTGGAACAGATAACAGAACAGTTATTGGTCATGACAAAGGACTGATTCTGCGGAAGCCTAAACGACCTGATAGCTGGGCTTCGGAACCTGAAAATAACGGAACAGGCGAGGAAGCAGTTGACGAGAACAATAATTTGATCCGAGTCGGTTTTAAGGCGCCTGGGGCTCACTTTGAGGAAAAAGAGGTTCAATAATATCATCGAACTGTTTTTTACGAATTCTCGCGACGACAAAGTGATGGCGAAGAAGAAGAAAAAGAGGATGAAGATGAAGATGATGATGAGGTTTATACTTATTCGCTTGATTCAATTGTTCCGAGTTTTAATGGATGTATTAATATACTCTCTTAAAAGAAATCAGTGGAAGTTCACTGATTCCAACCAGTGGAGATACTAGCGCGCATGCGCCCAGATATTTTGTTCACTGATTCAATCAGTGAAATTGCATCACTGGTTGGAATCAGTGAACGTCCACTGGTGAACCAGTGAAATTCCACTGATTCCTTTTAAAAGAGTAGAGTTTGATTTTGTTATTCCATAAAAAACCTTTATTATTTCTTGTATTTTTTATTTATATGGTGAACATCCGAGTCTTCTTCTTCTGCTTCTAGATTATTAAGCCTGAAATAAAAAAAATTTTAATTTAAATTTAATATGTTCTGGGACAGTTTTTTATGTCTTGATTTTTATTAGAATTAGAAAACTTACTCATCTTGTTCCAAACTATGAAGCATCTGGAACCCGGCGTCCAAACTTGGAGGAAACCCAATTTCTGGATCCAGCAGTTGGAGAGTTGGGACATCTTTGTAAGCATTTACAAAGTTCTCTAAATCATCAAATTGCAGCTTGTTGACAACTTCGTCCAGTTCCATCCTTGAATTTAAAATAAATTAAGATTATTTTTTTTTATAAAAATGTACTGCGCATGCGCCTGACTTGTTCCAGAGGTTCCATCAGTGGAACTTGGCAACAAAAATGATTACTTTGTAATTAATTAGGTTTATTTTGACCTTTGGAAGTACTTGTTCCAAAAAATAGATAATAAATTAGTAGTTATAAGCTATTTTTATAAAAATCGTACTGCGCATGGGCTTTATCTGTTCCAAAAGTTCCATTAGTGGAACTTGGCTACAAAAATGCCTAATTCGTATTTGAAAAAAATTAGCTTTAAGTTATTTATTAATTAGAATGAATCAACTCACTTGGCGGCGCTGCTGAGCTCCATTTGTTGTTTGCAAACCATAGCTTCGACAGTCTTCCTCATTCCTTCCTCGAATTTAACTACATAGTTCTGGTAGTAGTTGTGAATCTCTTCAACATTTCCTATTCCTGTTTCCACCAGAATTCTCTCCACCGGGTCCTGTAATTAATTTTAAAAATCAGTCTAAATAATTATTAATTTTTATTATTATTATTATTATAAATAAAACTGACAGGAAATCCAGAATTTGGCTGCTCACAGGCAAACTTTAGCATCATCGTAATTTTTCGCAGCAGAGTCTCGGCTACGTCAACTAGGGTTTCAATTGCGGTGTCTACCGACTGTTCATAACCGATGTGAGCTATTAAAACTGTCACTGCATGTTTTAATAAACTGCGGCATGTTGAAGGTTGGAGATTGCAGGTAAACTTTTTATTAATTTCGCGTCTAAAAAATTTTAATAAATTTATTATAAAAAAAAAAAACTTTGAAATTTTTATCTTACTTTTCTCGAGGAGGCAAAAATTTAAATGGATTGCTTGGCTTTTCTTCTTGTTTTTCTACAGTAGAAATTCCGCGAACTATCAATCCATTATTCTGAATTTTATTTTTAATAATTAAATTAATAATTAATAATATTTATAAATAAATAAATTTTTCTTACAATTGATGATTTTTGACGGTGCAGAGCGACTGTATTAAGTACCAGGGAATTTTCCATAGGTAATCTAAAAAAAATAATAATATTTAAATAGTAAATTGTAATTTTTAATTTAAAATTAAAGTTAAAAAATATTAAAAACTAAATAAAATAAATAATACTGAATAAATTCAGGATGAGGTTCAGTCTGATAATTATCCATCTCGGAATTATTAGACCCGCAGTCATCCAAAACTTGCCGCCAAATATTTTCAATAATATCCGGCGTTATGACTTCTTGCTTGTGGTTTTCTCGTGTTGGTAATTCACCCCACAGTATTGTTGAACTCGATCCGTTATTTTTACTTGACTTCATTTTTATTTATTTATTTTTTTATCTGTCAAACAAAACTATTAAATTATTTTTAATTAAATTAACACTTATTACAATTTCCGTTAGAAAAAAAAAAAAAAAAAAACAAAGTGATATATAAATAATTTTTGGTACTTACATCATTAAAATTAACAGTCAATTAATTTTAAACTAATAATTAATTGTTTTGAAGCAGGATTCAAAATTTTAAATTGTGTAATTAGTGAAATATTTTTATTAATTATTTAACTGTTTATCATTCCACAAGGTTATATACATTTGGCAGATACTGTTTACTAGTCAGCCATCTTGATTTTGGAGACGCCAGTAGGTGCGCGCGCATCTATTAAAATTTTTTTTTTTTAGCAGGAAAATTTAAATTTTTTAAATACTTGCTAATTTTTTTTTTTTTCAGATAAAAAAAATAATGGAAGTAGCAGCTGTCAAAATTTTAACACGTGCTGTTGATATGGACAAAAAAGAACAATATACGCTGGCATTAATTTTATATCAAGAAGGTATACAAGTATTACTCAATACTATTAAAGGTAAAAAAATTTTTTTTATGATTAATAATTTTTTTTGACAGAATTAAATTAAATTTTTATTATTTTGTAATTTATTTGATTACAATTAATTAATTTTTTTAAATTTACAGAAGTAACAGACGCTAAAAAAAAAGATCACCTGCGCGTAAAAGCAAACAGTTACTTGGACCACGCTGAAAAATTAAAAGTTTTAATTGAAGAAAAAAAAGCGCTTGGTCAGTACCGAGAGCAAACTAAAATAGAAGCTGGAGCTATTGGTTACGATTATGACAGTTTGTTTGGAAGATTTTTAGATGAAAATGTTGTCTGGATTCATGTTGAGGATCCTTACATCCGCGCTTATCACCAGGTAACTTTATTTATTGCTTAAAAAGCTATAATTGCGGAATTTGAAGCTTTTTTGCCCGAAAATTATAATGCGCATGCGCTAAACTTGTTCCAAATGTTCCAAGTGTTCCATTAGTGGAACCTAGACAAAATAATGACACTATGATTACCAACTAATAATGCTTATTTAAACTTTTAACTATACTTGTTCCATATAATTTTAATAATAAATCAATTATTTTCGTTCCAGTGCTTGAATCTAGTCAGACTATGTGAATTATCAGTGCAAAAGTGTTCTTCACTCAGTAAAATAATTTTAACAACAACCCAAGATCCAGACGACTCCAGAAACCAGAATCTGAGGCTACAAGAGTTAAAACAAAGTTTGAAACAATCTAATATTACAATGGAGGTTAAATTTTCTGATACTTTGCACGACAGACAAATTACGTAAGTTATTTTAATATTCTTCAATTATTTATAATTTATAATTAAAAATTGATCCTAGTCTCAGTAATGGGTGGGTGATAAAAATCGGCCGTGGCCTGGACTACTTCAAAGCACCAGAGGGAAAATTTAGCCTCGGTGCTTGTGACATGGCGCTGCGAGCGACTCTTGAAACAACAGTAGACATTTTTCACCGGAACGAGATAAAAAAACTGATTTAAAATAATAAAATATTTATTAACTTAAAATTATGGCACAAATTATATACATAAAATAAAAAACAATTATATTTTAATCAAAAATTAATTATTCAACAGAATAATCACAAGCTTTAGCCTCATCGATGCACTTTTTCGCCATTTTTCCCGCGAGCCTCAAGCTGTTGGTCCACCTGACGAACCCGCCATTTTGATTCTGTCCGCCATCTTGTCCAGCAGTTAAAAAACCCTCAGGTAAGCAATGGTGGCCTCCTACAGCGACAACTTGCTTGGCAATTTCCAGATCAACGCACAATCGGGTTAAAGCAGAGGCCGCTGTGCTCGCGAGCCTTTGGTACGCGTGTTCCAATCCAGGTGGCGCCATGCGAAGGAAACAAACTAAAGCAACTGAAGCTTTAGCTTTGGCTAAATGTTTTCTGGCAATTTGATGCCTGGCGAGTTTATCAATCAACATGGCGACTTGTTCCATCAGCCAGATAGACGGCGCTTTTTTCTTCACACACTTGAGAATCCTCCTAACGCCCTCGTGTTCCAAGATGGCAGCCACGAATTTTTTAGAGTTGCTGAGGTTGTTCATTGCGGCCGCACAGAGGAGCAGAGTTTGGGCACAAGCGCTGGACGCTGCAAGCTCAATTATCGTTAAAGTAAGCTCGGAACTGAACGGTTCGAAGTACTTTAACCCCAAAGCGTCGGTCCAGGGTGCTGTTACTTGGACAATCAGCGCCGTAGCTTCAATTTTCTCCCGCTCAGGGGTTGACAATGAGGTTAACAAGTCCACGAGGATTTCCGGGCCTCCTTCTTTGATAAAGTGCTCAATCGCTAGAGGGCAGCAGCAGACACTTGCCAAGGCCCGAAGACTCGACGCTCGGAGCTCTGAAGATAGCCTACTGGCGGAAATTAATGAAGTTAGCAGCGCTCGGACCCCGGAACAACGCGCAATTGAGGCTCCTGCTCGGGAACCTGCCAGGCCTAAAGCTGTTAAAGCGGCTAGTGCTCCTCGGGCTGCTGATCCTGACTCTCGGGGGGCTTCTTCTAAGCCACGGACCACGCGCTGAAAATTTATTTAATTAAATATTAAGGTGAAATTAAGGAAATACAATAAAGTGTTTCAAATAAAAAATTTACCTCGATGTAAAAATCCAACCGCGTGTCCAAATTATGATTTACCATGTTCTTTAGGGCCTCCAGTTGGTTCAGGATGCTCCTAGCACTGCCATCATGGATCCTCCTTGGAGGAGGAGCCCCCAGTTCTGAGAGTATCGAGAAAGCTTCCTCCTCAATTCCGCGAAGCCAGTCGCGCTCATCCCGTGAATCTCCACGTCCAATTTTCCTGTAAAAAACTTGAATTAACAAAGAATTCTCCAGTAGTTAGCGCTTTTGACTTACCTGGTGACCTCCTGGATGTGTCTCGTGAATCCTTCAGCCCTAATCAAAAGCTCTGTTGCCGCAGAAGTCGCGGAAGTCGTCAAAAGCTTCAGATCCCTGGTCTGCGCATCTTCAGTGTAAATGTTCCTCCTGGGCAAGGCCTTGCTCTGGAGGGTCGTGAAGCACTCGTCGTCGTCGTCGTCGTCGGGATCCTGGACCAAATCTTGAAGCCAGACCTGGACCGAGGCGCTGCTGGACTTTGCGATAAACTTCCAAGGATTTTTCGTATTCTCCGTCTCGGATTTTGAAGACTCGTTGGACATTCTCGTGTACCAGGGCCCGTTGAACGACGGGGTCGAGTCTCTGGACGCTGAACTTCCCTCATCTTCAGGAGGTTCCACTTCGTAGAGAAAATCACCCAGGCATTCCTCGGATTCTAAGAATTTAGGCGCCATTCTGAAACATAAGGTTTTTTTAATTGTGAAAATATTGGAGATTAAGAAAAAGTGATAAGAACCTTATAGGAGGATATAGTTTTCTATAAAAAAGGTTTTTATTTAATTTTTGAATATCTTGCACTGTTTTTTAGAAATTAATTAATATTTAAAATTGATTTGTAAAGAAATGCACACCGAGAAATAACCATTCCGGAAAATTACTGTGGACTAGGATGTGGCAAAAATGAATCAAGTATGATACATTAGAAATGAGAAAACATCTGCAGATGACTAACCACGTGTTAGTCACTTATGCTTTCATTGTTCACCTTTACCCGCATATCTATTACGTGTTGTTCTGTACACAGTATAGTACACCGTACTCAGTATCACCGCACATGCACTGTATATATATATATAGATATACAAGGAGGAAAACGGGAGTAGAGAGGCAATAAGTTTTAACTCCTTGCCTTCATGAGCGCCTGATCAAATGTGTATGCTATTTTATAATAATTTTAGGGATGAATGTTAAATAATAAGTAAACAAATAAAATATATTGGCTTTAGCTTCGCATGCTCCTGTTTTTACACTGACTATCATATGAATAGAGTTCCAGGATAAATCTTTATTAATTTAACATCGAGTAGAGTGGGGGGAGTACAAGTAGTGGGACGGTTTTATGAATAAAATCACGTATCTAAAAGACGCTGGGAATTTTAATTTCATTTTCATTGTTGCGGGTTCGGTTATATTGTCTATTTTTAAGATTCGATTTTAGATACTACGATTTTTTTTTTTAATTTTTTTTAACGTACAAAAATAAAAATTTTGGTAAATATTGGTAAATATACAAAAAAAAAGTGAAATATTTTTTGTAGAGCACAAAGTTTTTTATTATAAAAAGGTCTCTGTTCATTTTTCCGTATCTCAAAACACAAAAGTTAAGAAAGGTAAAAATATCTACGATAAAACCTGACTCATCCTTAAATGATTTTTTTTTATCAGATCACTCGGTATAGTAATGAGTCTCGGTAAACATAAATATTAAACTGAATAAGGCTCAGTGATTCAATCTTCAATTTATTTTTAAATTAAAAAAAAAAAATATATATATATACTAACCTAGCGTCATCAGTTGAGTCACCAAACTCCTCAGAATCCTTGGAGTCCTTGGTGTAGGTGAGATTCCTCTTGCATTGCTCCAAATTCCGTAGTTCAAAAGCCTCTGACTTAGGCGTAGAAGTATGCGTCGGTTTCATCCAGAACAAGTTTTTATTAACAATTTTCCTCTCGCCTTTCTTCTTCGTTCTTCTCCGTCTTCGGCTGGTATTAACATTCAATTTTCCATCTGAATTTTCCGAGTCTGAGAATCCAGAATCCAAACTTCCGTGGTCGGGACTCAAAACTCTAGCTAACTGCTGATTTTCTAACTCTACCACTTCATTGTTGTTCTCTTCGGAAGGATTTTTGTCAACAATTACAGCGGTAATGTTACAATTACTGTCAACATTACGAGTTTCATCGAATTTAAAGCTGTTTTCACTGACTTTATCAGTATCTGTGTCGGTATCACGCCCTAAATTGCAGTAGGAGGCATTTCTTCCGTTAGCTTCACTCTCGGGGCTGCTGTTAAGGATCAGAGGCGCGTTGTCCAGGTCGTGGTTCGCCATTTGGGTCCAAAAAACCCGGCTCTGCATTCTTTTGAATCCCGACATTTCAAACAAGTGTTTTGGTTAATTCCAAAAAACATTTGCAAAGTATCAAAACTTTTCAGGCGATTTTTCAGACCTAACCAGTACTTTTTAAAAGTATTTTTACCTCAAGAATACGATTTTGAACTCTATTCACTTAAAAAATTAACTAGAGACCTATAAAACGGGCCTGAAGGTAAATTTTCAATCCAATTTGGATATCTTCAATGGTCAATTTCTTCAGTTTCACTGATTTTCACACTCTTTGGCACTTTTGTTACATATTTTGGTGTGAAAATAAAGATTCTGAAGATCCCGAATCAGAATAATAAGCCCCAATGCTTAAAAACGAGGCCTAAAGTCCCAATTTTTGAGATTTGAAAAATATTTTTCTTCATTTAGACACTTGAATACACTGGTCGAATAGTTTCCGACCTGTAGAATACAATTTTGAATTCTGCGAAATGATCAGATAAGTCCAAGGCCCAAAGTAGATTTTCCGTGAAATTAATACTTTTTTGGGCTTTTGGAAGAATTTAAACACTTAAAGACACTATTTTTGAAGCCCCGAGGTTCTATCACGACGGCTTAATACTAACTAGAGCCTTTAACCCTCCCGGAATTCCATCAGAACCCCTTGGAAGCAACACATGGGCCCTTTGAGGAGTCACCGGAGTGTGACTGGTCGCGTGGGTCCGTTCAGTGTCATCAGGAAGACGCTCCGGAAGCTTATGGCACTATCCCTCCGGCTCGCGCGGGTGATTCAACAATACTGACTCAAATAGGATCTACAAAGCGGAATTGGCGTTCACTTTTGCGATATGACTAACCGAAAAGTTATTTAATATTTTATATATTTAAACTCCGGCACCTCCTCAGATCGTAAAGTCGCGACAGTTCAACCGAAACTCGTTATAGTTATGTAAATCACAGCTTTAAGTGACAAAGGATGATACGGGGTGGTTTGTATTTGAATCTAACGCTCGTCTATTGGGCGCATGTGCGATTATCAAACCCGCCCATTGGCTACCAACGACAACCGAGTTTATTTTTGAAATAACCAGGTGCTGGGTTCCCCTATCCCCCATGTGGGATCCCAACCATACGGGGGGGGTGGCATTCCCGAGTCTACTGGAGCGTTAGGGTGTCGGCACGTGGCTGCATCCATCTGCCATTGAATTATTGAATTTTATTTTATAACCCGCTTGTTTCTTTCCAATCGAGAATTCACTTATCTTTTTTTAGATTAACATATCTTTTAAAATATTCATTTTATGTTAAAAATCAATCAGATCTTTTTAATAGCTTGGAAAATTTCCTACTACTACAAAGAACCTATGAAATTTTTATATTACCCATAGCTTCCAAGTAATTTGCATAAATTTAAAAAAAAAAAAAAAAAAAAAAAAAAAAACTGCAAAAATAGACTTTTAATTATAGAAAAGCCTATTTTTCTTAATTATCTGTAATCACTATAACTCAAACCTTATGACCAATTTAAATCAATTGTTGTGAAACAATGTTATTTTATGTCCCCTAGGACCCAGCAAGTCAAGTAGTTTTTGAAGAAAAAACTTAAAATGTTAAAGAAAAGAATTTTTTTTTTTTTATTGATTGCAGGTCTTTTATATACTTTGTATGTATAGATATTCGGGGCTGTGTATAGGAATAGTCACCGCATACATGTGGGTCATAGCGTAACGGTTTTGCTGCAGCTGTTCACTATTATATTTTTTTGTGTACTAGTATGAGCATACACTTTCCTCTCTCCTCTTTCCCTTTATTTCTTACAATCTCGATTATATACACAACACGCGCCCTAAACAACAGTGGTTAATCGATTTAATTTGTTTTTTTTTTTCTAGACACAATTTCACCCTTGATTTGTAAATAAAATTTGCATTTTTTTTTTTTTTTTTAAATTAAAGTAACATTTATTTTTAATTTTTATTTAAAATAATGAAAATTAAGTTAGACTTCTAAATTCTTTTTTTTAACAAAATTATTTTAAAAAACTTTGAAAATAATATTTAAGTCTAATTTAATAATCAAAAAATAACTCTAAAAATTAACAATGTCTTGTTTACTATTATTTAAATTACTATATCTTAATAAAAAGACATTTTTTATAGAGAAATTTTCTAAGCTATAATTTTGGTTTATAAATTTTATTCTTTTAAACTCATATTTAAGGAGTTAAGAACATTTATTAAATTCTTAATTTTTTTTTTTTAATTTAAATTTCCCGCCATCTTACCAACCAAGTGTTTTAAACTTCCTTACCACCAGCAAGTATTCTGTTATTCCCATATCCCAACACCTTAAGATTAATTTCTAAAAAAGCGACGGAAAAGCAACCAATCAAAATGAAGTGTTAATTTCTCTTTAATTTCATAAAAATAACCTCTTAAAATTTGGTAAATTTGGTGTATCCTTGGACCGATTGCCTTTTATGACTCGATTTTGTCTCGTGTCTTGTCTTGAATAGTGTGTGTCTAGCATTTATTAAATACAAATAATAAGTAACAAAAAAATAAATAATTCACGATGGTGAGTAATAATTTATCCTGTTTCATTATTAAATATATTAATTAATAAATGAATAATTAAAAATTCCTCCAAAAGTCTTTTAGGTTCACAATTTATTTTGTCACCGGTCTAGTTTATCAATCACATCACATGACGCTCAATAATTTATAGAAAAATTATTTATTTATTTTAATTATATTATGAATATTCTTTCATAAATTTAATTATTGAAAATTAATTTAATTATCAAAAAATATATTATTTATTTTCTAAAATTTTAATTGAGGTTAACCTAAATTTATTATTATTTTTAGACATTTAAAAATCATAATAATTAATAAAGTTTTTAATATTGTTATTATTTAAAAAAAAAAAAAAAAAAAAATAATATTTCAGGTATCATTAAATCCAGTTAGAATTCTTAAGCATGAAGCGGAGGAGGAAAAAGGAGAAATTGCTCGTATGAGCATGTTCGCAGGTGCCACTGTAATCGGTGACTTGCTCAAATCAACCCTGGGTCCCAAAGGAATGGACAAAATTCTAGTATCGTCAGGAAGAAACAGCGACCAGGTCCAGGTTACCAATGACGGAGCAACCATTTTGAGGAACATTGGAGTTGATAATCCTGCAGCTAAGATTTTGGTTGATATGTCCAGAGTTCAAGATGATGAAGTTGGAGATGGAACTACTACTGTCACTGTTTTTGGTAAAGTATTTATTTTATAAAATAAAACTAAAAAAAAAAATAACCAAGTCATTAAATGTTAAAATTTTTTTTTTTTTTAAAGAAATATTAAAAATTATATAAAAATAATAGTTTTTTTGATTAAATTTAAATTTTATTAGAAAATAATAAAATTTACAATATAATTAATAAAAATTTCCCTGAAATAAATTTTACATAAATTAAATCCAAATTAATTTTCCAGCATCGGAGTTGATAAAAGAAGCTGAAAAATTAATCGAGCAGCGTATCCACCCTCAGACAATAATCGCAGGTTGGCGAGACGCAACTCAAGTAGCCCGCGAGGCACTCGAAGCCTCTGCAATCGACAACAGCGCAGACTTTGAGCGGTTCTGCGAGGACCTTCTGAACATCGCGCGCACCACATTGTCCTCTAAGATCCTGGCCCAGCACAAGGAGCACTTTGCTAAACTTGCAGTTGACGCTGTTCTGCGTCTCAAAGGGAGCGGAAATCTCTCAGCTATTCAGATCATAAAGAAGCGAGGCGCCACTCTCGCAAACTCCTTCCTTGACGAAGGGTTCCTCCTGGACAAGACTCCTGGTGTTCATCAGCCCAAGAAGATCCAGGACGCCAAGATCTTGATTGCCAACACTCCCATGGACACTGATAAAATTAAAGTCTTTGGATCCAAGGTCCGAGTTGACTCTCTGGCGAAGATTGCCGAGCTGGAAGTCGCTGAGAAAGAAAAAATGAAGGACAAGGTCGATAAAATTGTAAAACATGGATGCAATGTTTTTATTAACCGGCAATTGATTTACAATTATCCAGAACAACTTTTTGCCGATGCTGGAGTCATGGCTATCGAGCATGCTGACTTTGATGGAATTGAACGTCTTGCTTTAGTTACTGGAGGAGAAATTGTCAGTACTTTTGATCATCCTGAGATGGTCAAATTGGGAAAATGCCAATTGATTGAAGAGGTAAGAAGTTTTATTTATTTAAAGCAATTTTTCGGATTTTTTTAAATTTTATTAAATTAAAATTAATTTTTATTACTACTTTTGTTAAATTGCACTGTACTTTCTTTTACTATTGAAATTTTTTAAAATATAAGCTCATCCTGATGTTACACTCATCAAGAGCTTTTATTTGAGTACCCACATGGCACTTTTGATATATTTTTCATATATAAATATATAAAATATATGAAAAATTGATAAAAATTATTATTTCATTAATAATATTTTGTCTTGAATAAAAATTTTAAAATAAATTAATAAAAATATTTTTAGTTCATGATCGGCGAGGACACACTCCTGCGTTTCTCAGGAGTCCCACTGGGAGAAGCCTGCACAGTAGTAATCCGTGGAGCGACCCAACAAATCCTCGACGAAGCAGAGCGTTCATTGCACGACGCCCTGTGCGTTCTGACCTCTACAGTAAAAGAGTCTCGCATCGTCTACGGCGGGGGTTGCAGCGAGATGTTGATGGCAGTCGCGGTGATGAAAGCAGCAGCCAAAACTCCTGGCAAAGAAGCCGTCGCCATGGAGGCCTTTGCTCGCGCTTTGCAATTGATGCCTACTTACATCTCCGACAACGCTGGCTACGACTCTGCTCAGCTGATCAACGAGCTCCGTGCTGCCCACTACTCGGGATCTTCCTCAATGGGTCTGGATATGGAGCAGGGTAAGATCGGGTGCATGAAAAAACTCGGTATCACTGAGTCCTGGGCTGTCAAGCGCCAAGTTCTTCTCAGTGCTGCCGAAGCCGCTGAGATGATTCTTCGTGTTGATGACATTATCCGTGCTGCTCCACGCAAGCGCGTTCAAGATCGCGGACATTGTTAATCATTTTTCATGCCCATTTTGCAATTTTTTTTTTTTTTTACTTTATTTGTCTGGAAAGATTCTAGAGCTCTTGCAGAGTGTGCTTGTATAATTTAAGATTTTTATCTCGCATAGAAGCTGAGAAAAAAAATTAGTATTAATTCCTGTCGCTAGGGGTAAATTTTGTGGGTCAATAATTAATCATTTTAAAGCTGCAGAATTATTCTAGATGATTTTTCCAAATTTTAAGCTCTTAATTTCACTCTAAAATTTTCCCCTAGCGGCAAGAACTGGAACTAACTTTGTTTCTCCGTTTCTAAAGATAACAAAAGTTCCAAAATTTTTCTCCAAGACAAAAAAATCACATCAATATTCACTCAGTATAATATTAAGGCTCCGTAAAAATAATCAATAAAATATCTGAACCACGCTGCTTATAAAAATAATGTTATTCAATATTTTTTACATAAATAAATAAATAATTAATAAATAAATCGTAATTTATTATCATAACCCAATTTATCAAGATTAGGAGTGCAGGCGACACTAATCATGGGCTTAGGTCCACACATCAGAACAATAGTGTCCTCTGCTGGCGGGAACATGTGTTCCTTGATCATATCCGCGGTAATGTACCCCGTGGAGTATTTCCAGTTAGCGTCAGCGGTGTCTAAAGTGTACCAAAGCTTAAACTGTTCCGGTCGGTCCTTGATAACCTGTTCCAGTTCCTCGCGCATCAGAATGTCCTTTTCCATTTGATTCGCAAAGAGTAAGGACACTTGAGTAGAATCTGACGGGTTCTTTGCAATTGCACGGATCAGTTGGAGCATTGGTGCTATTCCGGAGCCTCCAGCCAGCATCACAACCTGGAAATTAAAAAAGTATACAGTCGGTCAGGAATTTTTTAAGGAGTAGATAGAAAAAAAAATTTTTTAAATTGCTTCAGTAGCAGCTGAGATATTGCCAATCAGTAAATCCGTACAGAACAATGTACGGATGTACGGATTGTGATTTTATGGTTAAATTCAAGTAATTTCAATGCGCAAAAGCATTTTTCTTATTAATTTGAAGATTCTGAGTCGATTTAAATGGTTTTTGAAGTAAATTGCACGCCTAAAAATAAAGTTAGATCTAAAAAATTACCAACTTACTTTTTTAAAATTGTAAAAATGCTGTACGGGGTCGGTTTTAGATAATCTTATCGCAAATTTTCCGTTCCCGTGATAAATAAGCCGTCCACCAGGTCCCTCGAAGTCAATAGTGTCTCCAATCTTCATTTCGTCCAGATACTGGGTCAGCCTCCCACCTTCAGGGAACTTGGGATGGACATTCTTGAAGTAAACCTGAAAAAAAGCACACTTAGTATTGAAGAGAAAAGAGAGACAAATTTAAGAGACTGACCTTGACGATGAGATCGACAAACCCGAAGTCGTTATCATCGGACACTGGGGTGTAAGCGTGCCTCACCGGCTGCCCGTTTATCTCTGCGGTCAAAATTACGTAACTGCCTACGGGGAGTCCCAGGACATGGGTAGACGGCAGTCCGAACCTGTACCTTCTGGTGTCGTGGTTGATTATTTCTTTTTCGATTAGAGGGAGGCTGTATTTCTTTGACGGATTTTCTAAGAGCACTGGGACTCGCTTCTTACGACGTAGGAGATAGTGGATTGTTCCTCCGATTATCAGTGTACCCACTGCTCCTACTACCATCAACACCTGAAAGAAATAAAATAGTTGATAATTTAGGAGATATAATAAGTTAAGTAATTTTAATATATAATTAAAATAGAAAAATTATTATTCCAGTCACTAAAAAAATTTCTATAATATATTTTAAATTATTTTTTTATTATTAATATAAAAAATATTGAAATAAATTTTTATATTACCTGATTTTTCATCATTTTATAAAATTATAAAAATATAAAAATATAAAAATTTAAAGGTTATATAGAACACGCCTAGAAATTTATCAATTGATTGATATTATACTAGCGCTACTATACTATTTACTCTCATTTTTATCTCCTTATAGTGTATTAGTCATTGTTGTTGCTGTAAACTTCATCAAGGCTTCAAGGCTGCCGTTCACTTGAGGAAAGTAATTATAAATTTAATTATTATCATGCTTGATCGAATACCATTGAAATTAAGGACATAATTTTTTTTATAGATAATAAATTTTCAATTCATTATTATTCTTTATTTTAAATAAAAAAAATTGTCGTTTTAAAAAAAAAATTATTTTTAATTTTAAATAATTAAAAAAAAAAAGTATTTATATTTAAAAATAAATAATTTTTAATAATAATAATAAAATTGTACCTAATTGACTTTAATTATAATATTTAAATATATATAATTAAAAATTTTTAATTTGAATTTTTTAATGTGGCGCCATCTGTAGTTTTTTTAAAATAACACAATGGCGGCGCGCGACGTTTTGATTTCCCAGAGTGCCTTGCGTGGAATATCTTCCTCTATATATTTTGTATAGGTATATGTGTACCTTTTAGCCGCCATTGTAATTGTAAACAGTAATGGTCACAAGCAAATGAAAATCAAGAAGTTATTTCTCAGATGTTTGTTATAACAATTTTAATAAAAATACATATTGATAATTAATTTAATTAATGAACTTATTAAAACATAATTGGTGATTCCTTGTGAATAAACAACACTTAATTATGAATCACCAGGTAAATTTATTCTCGACATTACAATATTAATATTTACTTTTACCAAATATATATATATAATGTAATGTAATAATATTTAGAATTAATTTTTTGTTTTTCAGCTTGAATGTTTGGTGAAAGAAACGCCGGACGAGTTATCGTGTCGCAAAAAGTATTTCCCAAGTAAGTTTTTTTTTTTTTTTTATTTATTTTTTTTTTTTTTCACATGGCTTGCAGTGGCGCTGCGAACAATAATATAAATAAAAATCCAAAAGATTTAAATTGTTTATTATTAGGCAATACTTGTTAGATTTAACTAATTATATAATTGTCTATTTTTTATTAGCTGGTGAATCGGTAAAAAGTCAAGATTTATTGTGTAGAATCTGCGATGACACTTTAACAAAAAACTCATTTAAAATTCATCCAATATTGGGAATTTTACTCTGCAAGGTAATTATTTGTTCTTTTTATTTAATACTTACAGTTTAATAATTTTTTAAATTTATTTTTAGCAATGCTATGAAGAAAATAAATCAGCGGATAAACAAAAATGCATGATATGCAATGAAGATGGTAAATTAATTGAATGCAAGAGTCAAAAATGTTGTTATTTAACTTGCGAGGTAATTTTTTTTTTTGTTTAAAAAATACAAAAAATATTAATTTAAAAATTTTTAGAGTATTTTTTTATTGAAAAAAATATTAAAAAAAAAAAAACTTGTCATTTGTAAAAAAAAACTATAAATGTAATTTTTAAAAAATATTTTTTTGTTCTAATTTAATTATTAAAAAAAAATTAAATTAAAATTAATAATTACAGAAATGCATGACAAGATTAAATCCAGGAGCAAAATCATTTTACAAACAAGGCAAATGGAATTGTTTTGCTTGTCATACTAAGCCATTGTACAAATTACGAGGAATATCAGCAGTCATGGCATCTAATTCTGAGTAATTATTATAAATTTTTTTTTTTTTTTTTTTTTTTTTTCCCTATAAAATATAAAACTTTTATTTTAATAGTGATGTAGAAAAATTCACTAGTCGCTCATTTTATTCTTTGTAATTTAATAAAATAAATTACAAGGAATAAATTAAATTTAGCATGCAAAATCATCGGAATTTCAAATTTCCGTTCTAGCTTTTTATTTATTTTATTTTATTTTATTTTATTTTATTTTATACTATTAGTTTATTAATTTACCTCCCAATTTATTTGTTAATGCTGTTCTACTTTATTAATAAATTAACATTATTAACCAACTCTAACAACGTCTAAAAGTAAATAAAATAATAAAGAAACAAGAACTATAATGAGCAGACGGAAGTTTGAAAGTCCATATGGATATTGAAGAATTAAAGAGTGAAATTAGAAAAAAAAAAAAAATAAATAGCTCATTCATTAGCAACAATGGAAACAAAAAAACAACCAAACAAATTATGTTTCAGAGATCAATCAAATAAAAGGATTGTAAATAAAGCTCAGAAAACAAATGGACATCTTTTATCACGTTCCGATTCAACTTCCAGTTCCGGTACTGAGTTTACTAAAACTAAAATATTAGACACTAATTTACCCTCTTCAAGATCTAAACATCATAATTTAACTGAAATTTCGGACAATGAATCTCATGAAGATGACACGCTTACTAATCGCCAGTTGCTTGATTTTAAACACAATGTCAAAAAATTATTTGACGGTTTAAAAGATATGGGAAATAAATTGCTTGAAGAAGTTGATAAAGCTCAGCAGAATTTTCATTCTTCTAAACGTAAATTAAAATCTTCTGATGTTGTTAATATGATTTCTGAGTGTAAGAATATTATTCAGCATGTTCAAGATTCGACAAATAAACAGGAGAAAAAATTAATAGAGCGACACAAAACTTGGTGCAGAAAATCTAAAATTAAAAATACACTTTTTCAAAATAATATTAAATCATCGAAAAAACAAAATGCTAATAAAAAAATTTATTCATCAGATGAAGGTCAAAATAATAAAATTACGTCTACGCCAATTAAAAATACTGAAAGGATGGTTGAAAAAACTAATTCTAAATTAAATGTATCTGATTGTGATGAGCAAGTATTTTCAGGTGATGAAAATAATCATAATAATATTAACAATGACACTGATATCAACGAAAATCCATTGGATCAATCCAAAGATTTATTTTCTGACGATGGTTTTAATGATACACCAGCCTCACCTAAATCCAGTAAAAAATCTTCCGATGAAAGTGACAATGAAAAGGATGAGCGAAAAAAGCGTTTTCTAAAAGTTAAACCTAAAAATAATTTAAACTCTGACGATGAAAGCGATTCAAGTGAAAAAGTTAAACCCAAAAGACGTTTGTCTAAAACAAAACTTGATAAAATTAGAGAAACATCCAAGACTAAATTATTAGATGATAAAAATAAGTCTTCGGATTCAGATTTTACTGAAGATCCCACACCGACCAAAAGATCTAAACAATTAGATGATAGTTGTATTAGTAATAATAATAATAATAATAAGACTGATGTAAATATAAGTGATAAAAATTCTGTAGATGTTGATTCTAATACAAAAGAAAAAAAAAATACTAACAATATTTCAGAATCGGAACATGAAAATAATGATAAAGAAGAACAAGCTAAAAATGATTTATTAAAATCTTCTTCAGAGTCTGACAATGAAGATAAAAATAAAAAAAATGTAGATCAAGATAAAAATTCTATATTAAATTCTTCAGATTCTGAGCATCTTAATACTGATGAATTATTAAAATCATCTTCTGACAATGAAGATGATAAAAATAAAAAGAAAATGGATGAAAATAAAAATTCTTCATCAGATTCTGAACATTTAAATAATGAGGATAATAAAGCTAAAGAAGATTTATTAAAATCTTCTTCAGAGTCTGAAAATGAAGATGATAAAAATAAAAATAAAAATAAAAATAAAAATAAAAATAAAAATAAAAAGAAGAAAGATGAAGAAGCTAAAGAAGATTTATTAAAATCTTCTTCAGAGTCTGACAATGAAGATAAAAATTCTTCAGATTGTGAGCATTTAAATGATGATAAAGCTAAAGAAGATTTATTAAAATCTTCTTCAGATTCTGACAATGCAGATGATAAATATAAAAAGAAAAAGAAAGATGAAGAAGCTAAAAATGATTTATTAAAATCTTCTTCAGATTCTGACAATGATAAAAATAAAAAAAAAATAGATAAAGCAAAAAAAGATTTATTAAATTCTAGTTCAGAGTCTGATGAAGAAAATTTAATTAAAAAAAAAGAAAAAGCTAATAATAAAAATAACAGTAGTAGTGACAATGAAACAACAACTAGTTCAAAATCTAAAAAACGTAAATTAAAAATTAAAAAATTTAATTCCAGTGACGACAAAAAATTGAAATTAAAATGCATTGTTGAGTTGAATCGACTGAGCAAGAAAACTTTATCTCAACACTTAAAAGCTCTTCGTTTATCGGCTGAATATTTGGAAAACAAAAAAGTTTCAAGGTAGTTTTATTTACTTATTTTTTTTTTTTTTTTTTTTTTTTTTTTTTCATCTTTATACTACCTCTTTCTTTTTAATTTCCTTTTAAAAATAATAATAATAATAATTGTGTGATTTTTTTTTTTAAAGGTATTTAAAATAGTATTATTAATTTTATTATGATTTTGCAGCTTGTTGTCCCTCGATGGACTTGATAAGAAGAAGAAAAAGAAGAAACATCGCAGTGATTCATCGACAGACGAGTCTTCTAACTCAAGATCAAGGAAGAAAACTAAACTCGTTGATGAAGATGAGACTTTGCTGGATCATTTAAAGAAAGTCGAGACTGGAAACGGCAACAATGACAGCAATAATTCTGCTTCAGAAGATGAAGTTTCTGGTAAAAAAAAAATAGTTGAAGAAAATCAACCGAGTTTAGTCCAGCAAGCTGATAAAATTGCTAAATCTGCTATTCTTGTTTCTTCCGAATCAAGTGATAATGAGGAAACACCTGAGGAGACTCTAAATGATTCTAAAAATTCTAAAAATTCTAAAAATTCTAAAAATGGCAAGAAAAAAAATAATAAAAAAAATGACACTGAAGATCAGGATAAGGATGATGATAAAGAAAAAAAAAATAAAGGCAATGACAGTTGGAAACGTAGCAAATTATTGACCAGTAAAATCATAGATTCTGATTCAGATGTTGAGAATTTAAAAGCTCAGGAAAAATTGTCACAGCGCAGCAAAAATGACGAGTCAGACAGCAGCAATAAAGAAGCTGATGATGATTCATTCAAAGTTAAAAAAAAAACCACCAGAACTCGAAGACGTCGTTTAGATTCTGATTCAGACGTGAAAATTTCAGATTCGGGGTCTGACTCTGATGACGATGATAAAAAAAATAACGACTCGGACAGTGGGAAAAAAAAAGAAGGAAAGAAATCGAAGCGTAAAAAAAGATCAGACTCTTCGGACTCGAGTTCGTCGATGGTAAAGAAAAATAAAATAAAGCGTCGTAGAATACGAGCTGTTGCTGACAGTGATGACAGCAGTGATGATGATTTAAACAGTTCTCAGGGTGGAGCCAATAAAAGCGGGCGTAAAAATATTCGGAAGGTTTTAAAGGATAAGCATGTGGACAATAGTACTCTCCAAGCGGCTAAGCAAGAGGAGGAACGGATTAAACGTATGGCTGAGCGTCAAAAATTGTACAATGAAATGTACGAAGCAAGATTAGCGAGTGAAGCTAAAGTTGACAAGCTTGTTCTAGATTTTGACGCTGAAACAAAGCAAGTATTGCTGGAAGTTGATGAAAATTTGGTAAAACGTCTAAAACCTCATCAAGCAAAGGGTATCAAATTTATGTGGGACGCATGCTTTGAATCTTTGGAAAGAATTAAAGAGTCTAACGGGTCTGGGGGTATTCTAGCTCACTGCATGGGTCTCGGTAAATCTTTTCAAGTTGTAACTCTCTCTCATACTTTGTTAACGCACAGTGAAAAAACGGGAATAAATACTATTCTTATAGTAGTTCCTTTGAGTACTGTTTTAAATTGGATGAATGAATTTAAAATATGGCTCTCGGAAGTTGAAAATGGGGCGGATATTGAATTATACGAAATGACTAAAGCTAAGACAAATTTAGAGCGTAAATGTCATTTAGAAAACTGGCAAAGAACCGGAGGTGTATTAATTATTGGCTATGAAATGTTCCGTAATCTCTGCGCTATCAAGGGTAAAGTACGTAAAACCGTACAGGAGGCTATTTTAAAAACAATCATTGATCCAGGACCGGATTTAATCGTTTGTGATGAGGGTCATTTGTTAAAAAATGAAGACTCGGCTATAAGCAAAGCAATAAGACGGGTTAAAACTTTGAGGAGAATAGTATTAACTGGTACACCTTTGCAAAATAATTTAATAGAATATCACTGTATGGTACAATTTGTAAAGCCAAATTTACTTGGTACAAAAAAAGAATTTTCAAACCGATTTGTTAATCCCATTCAAAATGGACAATTTGATGATTCAACAGAGTATGACGTAAAGCTTATGAAAAAACGTGCCCATGTACTTCATAAAATGCTAGAGGGTAGCGTTCAACGCTTTGATTATTCCGTTCTAACTCCTTTTTTACCTCCCAAACAGGAGTACGTTATCTCAATAAGATTGACACCAGTACAAGTTAAATTATACCAGTATTACATTGATAATTTTGCACGAAAGCACAAAGGAGTTGGTGGGTCACTTTTTGCTGACTTTCAAGCTCTGTCCCGTCTTTGGACTCATCCGTTTGTCGTTAAGCTTCATACGGAAAACAGCGAGAGAATTCAGCAGAAAAAACGAGAAGCTGAAACTGACTCCGAGGGCTCGCTTAAGGATTTTATTGACGATGGCAGTGACAGCGAGTCAAGTGTGAGTTCTTCCAATTCCAGCAATAGCACCAATGAAAGTGATGTTATTTCTCTGGATGATGAGGATGGAAAGAAGAGTAAAAATAATAAACGACTACCACTCAAGCGAGGCACTCGTGCTAATCCAGTCGCTGAGCCAGAGATTCCCGAGCCGGAAGAAGCCCCAGCTGAGAATAAAGAATGGTGGACTGAATTTATCAAAGAAGAAGACTTTGATGATATGAGATTGTCCGCTAAGTTGATGATTTTATTTGATATTATTAAAGAAGCTGAGGCTATTGGTGATAAAGTTCTTGTATTTTCACAATCTTTGTACTCGTTGACTTTAATTGAGAAATTTTTAGGAATGATTGACGATGAGACCCAAAACGGCAAAGAATTGGAGAATTTAGATAAACACACTGGCTGTTGGGCGATAGGTCAAGATTATTTCAGATTTGACGGGCAAACTTCTGCGGAAAATCGGAGCCACTGGGTTAAAAGCTTCAACAAACCTTCCAACACTCGAGCTAGATTATTTTTGATATCAACCCGCGCTGGGGGGCTTGGTATTAATTTAACAGCTGCTAATAGAGTTGTTATTTTTGACGCCAGTTGGAATCCTTCTCACGATGTACAAAGTATATTTAGAATTTACAGATTTGGGCAAAAAAAACCCTGCTATGTTTATCGTTTATTAGCTGCTGGTACTATGGAGGAAAAAATTTACAATCGGCAAGTCACTAAATTGTCATTGTCATGCCGAGTTGTTGATGAACTTCAAATAGAACGGCACTACAGCAACAATGATCTTGCTGAGCTGTACAGATTTGATCCACCGAGTGAAACTACACCCGATTTGGCGCTGCCCAAAGACCGTCTACTCGCTGAAATATTTTTACGGCACAAAAATTTAGTCGAGACCTTCCACGAGCATGATTCTTTATTAGAAAATATCGCGGAGGAAGAATTAGACGCTGAAGAACGGAAACAAGCTTGGCAGGAGTATGAAGATGAAAAGGCTGGAAAACGAATGATTCCACCTCAGATGATGATGATGAATTATTCTAATATCAATCCTAATTTAGTTCCCAATCATCAGCACATGCTCATGATGCAGCAATACGGCAGCCAAATGATAAATTCTCTTAATCAGCTTAACAATCCAAATAAACAAGTTGAACTCTCGCAACTTATGAGCATGTTCCAGCAAGATTATCCTCAATTAAATCAACAGCAGCATCGAGCTATGGCTTTAAAAGCTCTAAGCAATATGTATAACTATGTTGAAAATCAAATGGTCGGACGTGGTAGTAGTTATAATACTGGCTCTGTTATACCTAACCCCGTTAATAGTGTCAATAATAATCCTACTGCTACTTTGGCCAATGCTCTCGCTCAACAAGAGTACACGCGGTTGCATTCTGGGGGTGGATACAATCAACAGAATCTTACTCCACAGCAACGGCAAATGATGTACTCTCAATCTTTCGGGAATAATTCTTTTGGGAAGATTCAACAAAAGACACCTGTTAATCCTCCTCCTACAACAACAACAACAACAACAACAACAACAACAACTGCTTCTAAACAATCTGTCAGTAATGATGACAGTGATGATATTATTGAGGTTAACATTTGTTTCTTTAATATAATTAAAATTACCTTGTATCTTGGAAACTATTGACATTTTTTAAAATATAAGCTATCATTGTGTGAGTACCCACATCAATTTTTCATATATGTTATATACAAGTATATATATATGAAAAATATATCAAAAATATATCAAAAATATATCAAAAATGCATGTAGGTACTCAAATGAAAGCTCTCGTTAAGTATAATATCAGGATAATAAGTCAATAGTTAAGAAAGTACAGTGCAATTTAACATAAAGGTAGTTTATATTAATTTATTATTATTATTTTTCAGATACCTTCCAGTAGTAGTAATAGTAGTAGTAGTAGTAGTAGTAGTAGCAGTAGCAGCAGCAGCAGCAGCAGAGTTAATCAAGCCAGTAATGCCCCCAAGAGACAGGAAGAATAATATACATAATATTATTTAAACAACAAGTATTCCTTTAATTTTATAATTATTTTTAATATTTTCAATTTTAAAACTAAGAATAATTTAAGATAAAAATTTAGAGTAAGTAAATATATATTTAAGAATAATAATAGATTTTTCTTTATTTTACATCATCTCTCATGCTGGACATATAAATTTCATTATTATTGTCTTTAAAAAAAAAAAATTTTTTTATTGTTGTTTTGTCAAAAATTAAGTAATTATTTCATATTTATTAATAATTATAAACATATTTGTTGGTTAAAAATAAAAATTTACTATAATCGATAAAATATTCAAGGTAATGCTTTTCTCCATCCTGATTTTAATAATTTAAATAGTTTAGATTTTATTTTTAAATAATAATTATTTGATTGCTGATTTATCATTTCATCGGGATCATTTTTGTGATCATACAACTCTTGGCTGATGATACTCTTCCAATTGGAGGTATTATAATTAAAAGGTATCCAGACAGTGTATCGATATCTCTCGGTACGTAATGTATACCCCATTATTTTTATTTTATTTAATTTTGGCTCGTCACTGTTTGGTTTCCATGTTGGAGTCAATCCTGGTCGTGGATATTGACTGAATGCTGCTTTTTTCCATCTAATTATTATCTGTAATAATTATTCAAAAATAATATTTATGATATATTTTTCATATTTAAATTTTAATGTTATATACTCTTAAATAAATATATGAAAAATTGATGTGGGTACTCAAATGAAAGCTCTTGATAAGTTAAATACCATAATGATCAGCTTATATCTTAAAAAATGTCAATAATTTACGAGATACAAGGTAATTAAATGAAATTACTTTATTTTTATAAGCTGAAATAACTGGAAGAAAACTTATCCCCTCGCTGCATGTAGTTGATGAATAAACTTTACCACAAACATCAATAGGTAATTTAATTAATTCAGCAATCGTCGGGAATAAATCCACCAGTTCAACAATTGATTTAACGTAAACTTGAGATTTAGTTTTTTTTGGAATTGAAACAATCAAAGGAACTCGAACAGCAACGTCAAAATTACTGTACTTTGCCCAGAGACTGTGCTCGCCGAGTGACCAGCCGTGATCAGAGGTCAGTATCACTGTTGTACTTTTATCAAGCTTTAATTCAATTAATTTTTTTAATAATTCACCGATTAAACTGTCAATGTAAGACACTGCTGCGTAATAAGACTGAATTATTTTAACAGCAAACTTTTCAGGAATTTTCTCCCAGGGAAATTTTAAATCAAGATTTATTATGTCATCCCGTTGTCGCAAATCAATCCATGGATTATAACCAAGGCTTGTGATGTTTTCCGGCCAGTAATAATTTTTTAATTTAAATTTACTGAGTGGGTGAAATTTTAAATATTCTTCGGGGTATTTAAGGGGAATGTGGGGTTTTTCAAAGCCAACAGCTAAAAAAAATGGCTTTAATTTAGAATAGTTAGACAGATATTGTTTTGCAGCATTTAGATTTTCTAAATCTGGAAGAGTAAAACGAGGCATTGATGTGACATTAACAGGACATACCTAAAATATAAAAAAAAAAATTAAAAACAATTTAAATTAATTTAATTTAATTTAATACTTACAAGATTGCGGGCTAATTCACTGGCATTATTATTAAAACAAACTCGAGTATTTTTATATTTATCAGTAACTGGATGAAAAGGAACATCTGTCCAGGAGTAAGGACTGTCATCTGAATAATTCGAGCTAATACCAGGGTGGAATACTTTTCCAATAGATTTAGTGGCGTATCCAGCATTTTCTTTTAAATACTGCGGAAGAGTTGTGTAGTTGTTTTTATTATTATCTCTCCAGTAACTGTAGAAGTCATAAAGATGAAGAGTGTCAGGTCGTCGGCTTGTCAAAAGTGAATTTCTACTTGGAGCACACAGCGCTTGCTAAATTATGATTTGTTTTTTTTTTTTTTTTTTTTATTAAAAATTTATTTAAAAAAAAAAAAAAAACTATAAGTGCAATTTTTTAAAAATATTTTTTAGTTATATTATTATTTATTTTAATAATTTAATATTATAAATTAAAAAAAAAAAAAACTAACCTGTGCATAAGCTCGAGTAAATACAACACTTTTTTCAGCTAATTTATCAATATTTGGCGTGTAAGCATTTAAATCTCCATAACAACCCAATGCAGGACGCAAATCATCAACCAAAATTAACAATACATTATTATTATTATTATTATTATTATTATTATTATTAATTTTATTAGCGTTACATTTTAATAATAATAAAAAAAATAAAAACCACTTGTACACCATGTTTTATTCTGTGCAACAATTTAAGTCAATGTCCAGTGATTATTAATCACTTTTTATTTACAACAATTGATTGACATTATTGATGTCTTAAAACATTTTTTTTTTTTTAATAATAATTATAACTTTTAAAGTTCCCGGTAATGACAACTAGCGCCACCATTAAAACTTTAGACAGAATCTCGCGTTGTACATATACACTGTCTGACTCTGACACGTCGACTTTTCTGACACTCGATATTTTATTAAAAAAATATGTTTATTATTAAAATAAAATAAAGAAACAAGTTAATTAATTATTTTTATAAAAAGGTAAGAATTTTTGATTAAATTAATTTTATTACAATCATAATTAAGTTTTAAAAATATTTACAGTGTTGGAATTAACCAAAAAAATATAAAAAAAAAATGAGCAACGTTGTGGAGCAATCATGTTACACGTTGATAAACATCGCGACCGAGTCGGAGCCGATGAACGAGCTCCAGATGAAGCAAGATTTAGAGAAAGGCGACATTCCTGTTAAAATAGAAGCTCTTAAAAAAACAATCCACATGATATTAAACGGCGAACGTCTTCCAGGACTGCTCATGACAATCATAAGGTTTGTTTTGCCTCTGCAAGATCACACGGTTAAAAAAATGCTCCTTATATTTTGGGAAATTGTCCCCAAAACCTCGCCAGATGGTAAGTTGCTCCAAGAAATGATTTTGGTTTGTGACGCGTACAGAAAAGACCTCCAGCATCCAAATGAATTTGTCAGGGGGTCAACACTGAGATTTTTGTGCAAGTTAAAAGAGCCGGAGCTCTTGGAGCCACTGATGCCGGCAATAATCACCTGTTTGGAGCACCGTCACTCTTATGTTCGACGTAATGCAGTCCTTGCCATCTTCACAATTTACCGTAACTTTGAATTTTTAATTCCCGACGCTCCGGAATTAATAGCCAAGTACCTAGAGGGCGAGCAGGACATGTCTTGTCGCAGAAATGCATTTTTAATGCTGCTACACGCAGATCAAAGCCGCGCATTGGCATATTTAGCTGCTTGTCTTGATCTAGTCCCGAGTTTCGGTGACATTCTCCAGCTGGTAATTGTCGAGCTAATTTACAAAGTCTGTCTTGCAAATCCCAGCGAGCGCGCACGATTTATCCGGTGTATCTACAGCTTATTAAATTCACCCAGCGCAGCTGTTCGTTACGAAGCCGCTGGAACTTTAGTAACACTTTCCAATGCTCCAACAGCAATCAAAGCCGCTGCTTCGTGTTACATCGAGCTGGTCGTCAAAGAAAGTGACAATAATGTTAAATTAATTGTTCTAGACCGTCTGATTGCCATGAAAGAGAGCCCGTCTCACGAAAGAGTCCTTCAAGAGCTTGTAATGGACATTTTACGTGTGTTAGGATCACCTGCTCTTGAAGTACGAACTAAAACTCTTGCTCTGGCTATTGATTTGGTAACAACTCGCACTATTGAAGAAATGGTCCAGCTTTTAAAGAAAGAAATCATCAGAACTGCCGGAGGGGAGCATGAAGATGCCGGAAAATATCGACAGTTGCTTGTTAAAACATTGCACACTTGCTCTATTAAATTCCCGGATGTCGCTGGGACTGTTATTCCGGTCCTAGTAGACTTTTTGACTGAAAACAATGAAGCTGCTGCTGGAGATGTGCTTGATTTTATCCGAGAAGCTATCCAGAGATTCGAAAATTTACAGCCATTGATTATTGACAAACTTTTACAAGTATTTTCAGAGATTCGAGCAGTTCGCGTTCATCGTGGAGCTCTTTGGATTCTTGGAGAGTACGCGACTTCTAAGGAGGATATTGAAAGTCTTATGGGGCGTATCAGAGTTGCTCTAGGGGAATTGCCGCTTGTTGAAGCTGAAAATAAACGCCAGACTGGGGAAAAATCACCGGATGAAAATTCTCAGCAGCAGCAGCAGCAGCAGCAACAACAACCTCAGTTGGTTACTTCCGATGGTACTTATGCTACCCAGAGTGCATTCAGTACAACCACCGGGAAAAAAGAAGAAAAACGACCGGCATTAATTCAGTATATGATGGAAGGTGACTTTTTTATTGCCGCTTCTTTGGCGTCAACTTTAACGAAACTCGCGCTGCGTTACAAGGAGCTAGAGAGTAATCCACAAAAGAGCAATCGATTGCAAGCAGAAGCTATGCTGATTATGTCAAGTTTGTTGCAGTTAGGACGAAGTGGACTGCCATCTAAACCCATGACCCACGATGACGCAGAAAGAATTTCCGTTTGTTTAAGATCTCTTGCCTGTACGACGACCAAAATTGTCCAGAAGGTCTTCACTGAAGGTTGTCGCGAGGCTCTCGGGCAAATGCTTACGGCTAAAGCCGAGGAAGACTCTCAGACTCAAAAGGCTAAAGAGAAACCTGGAAATATTGTCCAGGTAGACAATGCGATACAATTTTTACAATTGAGCCGCAACAGCGACCTTACTGGCGGTCACTACGGTGATGTTTTTGAGCAAAGTTTAAGCGCTGCTGTTGCTGGACGATCTGGAACTAACGATTCACCGGCTCCCCCCGCTAGTGCTTTAAGCAAAGTTACACAATTAACCGGATTTTCAGACCCGGTCTACGCAGAGGCGCTTGTTCATGTTAATCAATACGACATTGTGCTTGATGTATTGATTGTCAATCAAACAGAGGACACCTTGCAAAATTGTACACTTGAATTGGCGACGATGGGCGATTTAAAGCTGGTAGAACGACCTCAGCCTATTGTTTTAGCTCCCCGTGACTTTGCCAGTATTAAAGCAAATGTTAAGGTCGCTTCCACGGAAAATGGAATTATATTTGGTAATATTGTTTATGATGTCTCGGGTGCTGGCTCTGATAGAAGCGTCGTTGTTCTTAATGATATTCATATTGATATTATGGATTATATTGTACCGGCTACTTGTACAGACACTGAATTCCGGCAGATGTGGGCTGAATTTGAGTGGGAGAATAAAGTATCTGTTAATACCACGCTTGCTGATCTACGGGAATATCTTGCGCATCTATTAAAGTCTACTAATATGCGTTGTCTTACCCCTGAAAAGGTAAATATTTTAATAACTAGCAAGTTATTATGTAATTTATCAAGTATAAAAATTAAAATTTTGGTTTATTATAAAATAATAAATTTTATTCAATTGCACTGTAAATATAAATTGACATTTTTAAAGATATAAGCTTATTTTTATATTACACTCATCAAGAGCTTTCATTTGTAATACCCACATGTATTTTTAATATATTTTTCATATATATATATATATATATGAAAAAATTGATGTGGGTACTCAAATGAAAGAGGTCTCGATGAGTATAATGTCAGGGTGAGCTTATATCTTTAAAAATGTCAATAGTTTACAAAATACAAAGTCATTTATCAAAATTTTTCTTATTCTCTTAATAATATAGATAATAATAATAATAATAATTTGTTTTTTTTTTAAATTGTTTTTAGGCATTGTCAGGACAGTGTGGATTTATGGCTGCAAACATGTACGCTAAATCGATATTTGGTGAAGATGCTCTTGCTAATTTATCACTGGAGAAGCCACTGCACAAACCTGATGCTCCTGTTGTTGGACACATTAGAATTCGCGCTAAAAGCCAAGGAATGGCTCTGTCACTTGGAGATAAAATTAATTTTGCCCAAAAAATCGTGCAAACTAAAGTTGTTCAAGCTGCTTAATAATATTTAAAATAAACATTCATGCTTTTATTATACTTTTAATATTAGATTATAATTAAATAAATTACGTCGAGTATTAGAATTATATATATATATATATTTTTATTTTTTTCAATTAATTACATGGATCAATTTTTTTAAAATATACAATTATATGTAATTAATATGAAAATAAATAAAAATAATAAAATATTATTCATTTGATTTTTTAATAAAAATATCAAATTACATCTCATGAATATCATCTTCAGTTACTGTATTAGACATTTTGTGCTAATTTTATCAGCATTTACGACGCAACACCAAATTAATGCTCGCATAACTGCACCAGTGTCTAAAAGTAATAATCATTATTTTATTATTATTATTATAATAACTGTTATTACAAAACCAATATTATTTTATTAAACAACAACATAATTATACATTCATTCTTTTTAAATTATTTAATTACAAAGAAATTTGTGGTAATTAATGTAGGATTAATTACCCCAATAATAGGGAAACCCGTTATACGTCTAATTTCGATAATTAAATAAGATTAAGCAAAATCCAATAATGATTCAATATATATCGGTTTAATCTGCTGGATAAAAGTTTTGTTCTGGAATTAATTTAAGGATAAAACTTGGATATTTTTATCATTTCTCAAGATAATCACTAATCAGCTAAACATGAGATGTATATCATTACCACTATAGTCGTAACATACAGCGAATTACGGAGAGGAAATCAATAAAATTCCACAGGTCTCTGTTAAGTAGGCTTTTAAACCGTCACCAAATATTTACTTTATTCAGGCTTTTTAACATGTATATTATTACAATACACTCAAAAAATAATAAGAGAAATGTCTTATCGGGGTTGATTCATTCTCATTTTTTCTAAAATTATTCATATAAAATATAATTATTTACCGAGAGTCAAAAAAAAAAAAAATTTAGTTGCGTAAAAGAAATCCTACGCAAAAGCTGTCAATTTTTTTTATAAAAAAAAATGATAAATCATATTTAATTTAAATTATTTATAAGACTTTAAAATAATTAAAATAATAAATTTAGCCTTTTAATTTTATTAACGAGTTTCAACATCCGGGAAATATATTTCTTATTGGAGATTTATATTTATAGATTTTGATAATATATTTAAATAAAAATTATTAATATTTTTTAATTAAAGGATAAAAATGTTTGTCTTATGCGTTTAAAAGCTAATGATGCCTTTGATATTCATCTTTTAGTTTTTTGTCTATATTAGAGATTTAGCTGCTGAATGGGATATTAATTAAATACACACAATAGATATACATTATTAAACAAAAAAGATGTCTAAGAAAGTTTTTCAATTATATTCCATCTTTTATAATTTATTATTATTGTTGATCATTTTCACTAAAATTTTTTTATTACCGGTGAAAACATTTAAAAAAAGAACACGAAACTAATCGTTGATAGTATATATAAATCGCGGATACAACTTTTATCCGGTAGTAATATATCAAAAACTATTCAAGGCTCTCTATTTTATACATATATATACAACTATTCATAATTATGGATATTAAAAAAATTTACATTTGTTTTATATTTATTGTCATTTTAAAATTCACCACTGCTACACAAGGTAATTTTAATTTATATAAATTAAAAATTAAGTTAACTGCGACATCAGTTAAAAATTTTTAGAATTATTTTAATTTTTATTAAAAAAATTATAAAAAAAAAAAATTACACCAAAGTTGACATTAAAAATTTTTTTAGAACTTTATAAATAGCAATTAAATTTAAAAAATTCCACATGTGAAAAAATTAATAAAAATTACAAGTAAACATTTTTAGAAGAATTTTTTTATTGTTATTTATTTATTAAAAAAATTTTTTAAATTAACAGCTGACGGCTAACTTCATCAGTATTATATAAAAAAAATTTCATTTGTAAAAAAAACTTGAAAAATTAAAGGTGCAATTTTTAAAAAAAAAAAATTCTTTTGTTCTAATTTAATTATTAAAAAAAAAATAAAAAACGTCGGCTAACTTTATTATTATAAAAATTATTATTTAGATGATGTAAAAAAGAATGAAGAAAAAGAAGCAGGTGGACATGAAGATACAGAAGCGCATAAATCTGACGGAAAAAAAGAACAAGAGGTTAGTATTTATTTATTTAAATATATTAATGACTTGATATATAAATAAAATTTTTTTTATTGTACACTTTGATCGTTTATATATTATTTTTGTTATAGGCATTATTATCAATTTTATTGAAAATAATATGAGAAAAACTTAATATAGTATATTATTGTTATAATTTATATAAATAAGATGAATAATATTTTTTTAACAGAAGTATGAAAAGAAACACGAGTCAGATAAGGGGACGGTAGGACATCACGATATTGAGGATCATAATAAAAGTTATGAGGAGTCAAATGCCAATGAGAAAAAGCACAAAGAAGAGGCTGGACATTATCAGGAGCATTTGGAGGGTGAGAAACGTGAAAAGTTTGCCGAGTTCGATGAAGAGGGTAAACACCAAAAGGGACACAGCACCAAGGGTCAACACAATGTTTACAAGAATAATGAGTATAAAAAGGAGCATGATTTCTATGATGAATTTCATGATCAAGGTGGACATCAGGAGGGAGGTGAATTTAAAAATTCACATCTAAATAATAAAGGTCACTCTAATAAAAAAGCTCATCACGATTCTGCTCATCACAAGGTATTTTCTTAAATTATTATATATTTATTTCATTTAATTATATATTTTTTATTATTTAAAAAAGGGCCATCAGGGAAAAAAACACGGTCATCACAAGGGAAAGCATCATCATAATCATAAAAATTATAAATCTGGAGAAGGTCATAATCATCATCAAAAATTTAATCACAAACGTGGTAAAAATACCGGCAAAACTCGTGCAAAAAAGTGGTTACGTTCCGGCAAAGCTTAATTAAATATCTATCTACCTATATATATATATATTATGTGTGCAATCGATTGAGGAGTCAGTTTACCAGATGACTTACTTTTATTTCAGTAAATCATGAAAAGTGAAAACCTAGCGTTAAATTGGTCACACTTTATGACCACCATGTTCCACATTTACTTTTTTTCTTATTCATATTTTATTTATTTATTATGTTTTCCATACAAAGTTCTAATAATATTGATGATTCACACCTACATCGATTATCTGCTATTTTTTTTTTTTTTTTTCAAAGCACTTATAAGGGGGCAATAATAATCAATTTTACTTTTTATCAATAAAATGTTAAAATAAATTTATGTTAGTCAATAAATAAAAAAAAAAAAAAAAGAGAAAACAATTCTTTCTGTATTACTCTATCGTTACTTAATAGTTTTTGTTGTTGTTGTAATAATAATTGTCCTTGATTAAAATTTCTTCATAATCGATTTGGGGGTCAAAAATATCGAAAATATCTTGCAGCAATTGTTTTAAAGAGAAAGGAGGAAGCATTTAAATAGATTATTTTATCAAAAAATGAGTAAAACCTATTACGGGGGAATAATGATATAATTGTCTCAATACTTCTTGACGATACTCAGTCTTACAGTGTCCATCAGTCATAATGGATACATCATACAGACTTGTCTTTATTTTATTTTTTACGGTAATATTATTTTATAAATATTTTAATTTTTTATTATAATGCTATTTAATAAATTTATTTATTTAATAGATTAAATCGACAGTACCGGCTTCGGTAGAGTTTTCGGTTTCAAATCAATCGCCAATTGTCGTTGCTGAATTACCGGAACAACCTGACAGTCATAATGTTCCACAGGCCATCAGTGAATACAGACCGAGAAGAATTAATTACAAGGATATGAATGTTAATTATCAGCAAGTACAACCGGTTCAATATATAAAAAAACAACCACAAGTTTTTTACTACACTCAACCCTCGGCTTATCCAAAAAAATACATTGTACTGAAGGATAACAAAAATTATCAACCAAGGGGTAAAATAAATAAACGCCAGGATTACGGCGGTGAAGATGATTATGAAAGTTATGGGGAACATCAAGTACCTGCTGAATCAAAGCACCACGAGCAACATCATGAAGAGTCTCATGAGGAAGGACACGGAGGAGAACATCATGAACATCACCACGAGGATGGAGGCAAAAAAGGCGACAAAGTATATATTTTTTTTTTTTTTTTTTTTTTTTTTTTTTTTAAATTATTGTTGTTTGATTAAAATTTTATTAATTTTATTGGGTATAGGGTTTTAAAAAGTGGTTTGAAGAAGAAAAGGGAAAAAAGGGACATCATGATGAAGAAGATCACAAGAAACATTATGGAGAAAAAAGCGGGGAGAAAAAAAAACAACACCATGATGATGGGTACTACAAAGAGTATCACCACGATGAAAAAGGTGAAAAAGGCTCCTCATATCAGGACAAAGGAGAATACAAAAAGGGACACAGTACACACGGAAAACACGTTATCCATAAAAAGGTTTTTAATTTTATTTATTTATATTTTTTGATTGTCTATTTTGGATGATATTAATTTAATTGGTTTGTTTAGGATGACTATGAGAAGAATATAGACTTCTTTGATGAGGATCACTCTGTAGAGGAGCATGAAAAGGAAGGCGGTTATCACCACAAGGCCGAGAAAGGACACGGTGGTAAAAAGAAGAAAGGACATCATGAGCACGGGCATCACCAAGACAAGTACGGCAAAGAGAAGAAACACAAGCACGGTCACCATCATCATGATTCCGAAAAGTGGGAGAAGGAAAAAGGTGAAAAGGGACATCACAAGCACGGAAACAAGTACGGTAAAAAAGGCGAACACGAAGAAGGAAAAAAGTGGGGACACAAAAAAGGAGAGTAATTTTTATTTTTAAAATTAATAAACTTTTATTCCGTAAAATAACTTGTTGAAATTATTATTATTATTATTATTATTGTAAATCCTTTTTACAATTATAATTATCGTCATACATTATTTACTTTTTTTTTTTTTTACTCTCTATATGTCGAGGCAATAAATTTTTATGACGAATCATTGCGGGTGTAGAGACGGTGAAGAAAAGTAAAACCCATTATCAGCCGGAATCTCTAAAAGTTTTGATTATTTTTATACATCTTTTTGTTATTCAATGACATGATAGCAACTTTTATACAGACTTACAAATTCATGAGCTTTTTTTTTACGCAGTATATCTCAGTATGTCAATTGGGAATATTTTATATTTATCATATGCGAATAATATTTTATTGTTTTTCTTTTGGGTAGTATTATACTGAAGTAACATATTGAAAATGATAAATGACAAATGATAGGTATTATTTGTTTGAAAAACTTTTATTATATTGTATTTTTACAAGTAATTTATTTCTTTTTTTTTTTCTTTTTTTTTTTTTTTTTTTTATTCGTAGAGAAAAAAAAGAAATAAAAATCTAAATTCAAGTAGAGCGATTTGTTGCGGTTTTTACGATCAATTAGCGTGACAACGCGACTGTTGCGCTTTTATTATATCTTATACATATATTAAATGGAAAGTATATTTATATTTTATTTGAAAAAGTAAACTACACTATCAATGCAAGTATTTAGGATAATAATCAATTATCATTATCATATCTATCTTCTTTCGTAATTATATAATTAGATTTGACGATAAAAAAAAAAAAATATGATTGAATATGAATACGGGAGGTATCATCAGCAGGAGTAACGTCATGCGTCAGGATCGTCGCCGGGCAGGGATATCTCGATGTTTGGCGACGATTGGGGTACGATGGGGATGAAGAGATGGGATATGACGGCGCCGGTGGGCGCTCTGTTATATAGAAAAGCTCAATCGCGCCCCTTTATTCTCATTCTCACATCCACATCTACGCAAGCAAGATTCTCTTGTCTTAAACTTTTAAAAGACAACAAGTCTATTTAATTTTTAATTATATATATTAACAAGTGAATAATTATATTTAATTTTCGTGATAGCTTCTAATTAGTCATTTTAAATAAAATTGGTAATAATAAATCTCGGCGAGTAGCAACAGGTGAGTTATTTTTATTATCTCTACATTCTCGTCATTTATATGCTTCATTAAATTAACTATTTGTTTTTTTTTTATAAGATATATATTTATTTTTAATCTTATTTAAAAATTTGCATATAAATATACAATAAAAGTAAAAAAACTGTATATATATATATATATATAACTCTCCAGAGAATAAATGTAGTTTATTTTAAAATCTCATTACTTTGATTAAAAAGAAAGAAAATACTTAAAAAATATATATATATATATATTTTTTTATTTTTCTGTATATTTAAATTAAAAAATTGAAAAATAAAATTTTTTAATAAATATATTAGTCACACGGGAAATAAAACTTTTATTTTTATTATTAATATACTATTCATAGTATATTTGTATTAGCATATTAATATGTATGTGTTTAAATAAGTAAAATAAAATTTTTATTATTATTATTATTATTATTGTAATATGAAAGAAATTTATAGAGAAATGATGATTGTAATTTAAAATGAGTAATATCTGTAAAAAAATACAGTAAGTGAAGCGCAAGTGTCACGGAATATTGAAGTGACGTTAATCTAATATCCGTGCTGGAATTATTCTGAAGAGAGGAAAAAATATATTAATGAAAACTCTGATGATGAATAATATTTTTTATTAAAATTCTAATATCGTGATTTATAACTTTCAAATAAGGATTTCCGATTAGATACTTTTTTTTTTAAACTTTAATCGATTTTAATAATAATAATAATAATAAATGTTGAGGATTAATTTTCGAGTTTTGGGAAAAGAGTATGAAATTTCCCAAAGGAGAATAAAGTTTCAAGGTTTATAAAGACAATCGAAGCTGTTAAGCCTATAAGAGAGTGTATAATACAATATTATAATATAATAAAGTTGTAAGAAACCCTTTTCCAGTTTCCAGTTTCCAGTGCGAATATAAGGGGTAACATTTAACAGCATAAGAATATATAAGGTGATTTAACAGGCACTTTAAACCGAGACCCTGTTAATTGTCATGCAGGGGTAAAACTCCTCAACTAAATCGTCTCATTCCCTTTTGCTATACCGTTTTTTAAATATATATTTTATCTTTTCAATAATCAATCCACACTCGTAATTATTTATTAAATTACTACAGAGTTTCGTAACTTAACGCGAGTAAATTGAATAAAATTAATTAGCACTCATCTGAGTGTAATGCTGTGGCTTTTATACTTATACTACTCGGGTCTATTTCTACTGAGATAAATTATTATTATTATTATTATATTATTTGCAGATTGAAATGAGCAAGAGAAAACAATTGAGTTTTTCTATTTTATTAATTATCTACCTGTTTGTTAATTGTGTTACTGGATTTATCGATGACTCAACAAGTGTCGTCGAACGATCATCCCGTGAAATAAATAACCGGCCACTTTGTACTGCTAAAAAAGATTATGACTTGATAACAGAGCAGTACAAAAGATTACCATTACCAGAGAATCGGTATGTCGCTGAATATAAAAGATTTCCAGAGTATCGCTACAGTTTTGGTATTGGAAAGCGATGGTACGACGGTTCAAAGGTATTTTTTTAATTTTTTATTATTTACTATCTCTACTACTATAGATTTTGCCCATCAGTATATATATCATATTGTATACTACTGTCAGTAGAGATTTATTAGAATTTTGAACAATGACATTGATGAGACAGTATAAGCTTATTGACAGGATATACACATCCGTATTCACTTTTATCCCTTTGTTATACACACTATTGTGTTATCTTTATTTGTTTTTCTTTCATTCATTTATTCTTCTCTCTATATATACGCATACCCAGTTAATAATAATAATATTAACCTGTTACTGTTTTTGTATAATACTATTATTTTTAGAGTGTGAAAATATTTACACTGTTATTTTTTTATTTAGAGAAATACTCCCTATTCATTTGGGATCGGTAAGCGCTATCCGATGGATAAAATGGATCAAATGGAAAAAAATAAATTACATCAGTTTGTTGGTTTGTTTAATGATTATTTATCCTCTGGGAGCGATGATAATTATCCAGTAATTCAAGATCAACAACAAAATAAACGGGGTGCTGTTCCTAAATCTCGTAATTATGATTTTGGTGTTGGAAAACGCAACATTCATATATTTTCATCAATTAAACAGCCACAGCATATCAATCCGGATGATAAACATGATTCTTCTCCTGAAAATTACAATAATGATGTTTGGGAACAGGATTGAAAATATATTTTTTTTTTTTTTTTTTTTTTTTTTAATCTCCAAAATTTATTATTTTATGTGTCCTTTACTAGCTTAATAATAATATCTAAAATATACTAATAAATAATATATCCAAAGTATTATATAAACATAAATATAATATAGCTTATAACTTTAAACATATACCTATCAATGTAAATTGTTTTTTTTTTTTTGGATTATCAGCTTTTAAAATAATAATTATACTTGAATCTGTATTGTAAATTTTATCGAAAAAATAAAGATATATATATATATATATATATATATATAATAATGTAGTGATGCCTGGAGAGTACTATAAATTCAACCGATATAATTATTCTCATGAGATTAATACTGAAATACGCCCTCTTTTCTCAAATAAATATATAAAATATAAATTTGTCTTGTTTCTTCCAGCAAGTTGTTAATATAAATCCAGTATAACGATGAAATTATTTATACTTTATTTAATTATTACCGTAAATTTAATGAGCAAAAGCGAGTGTTGGCGTGTAGGTGAAAACAAATACTGGCTTCCGGAGTTGGAGTGGTCCAAGGGAGACAATTGGATCAACGGTATTAAACCAGAATCAAACAGTCGTGTGGTATTTCCTTTAGAAATATATCACTCGGTTGGACTTCCGGGCAATTCACATTTACAACTTTCCGAGATTGAGTTATCCCGAGATGGCTCTCTTTTACTTTCAAGGGATGGAACCTTACAGGTAACAAACAAACAAACAAACTACTAATAAACTTTATTACAATAAAATATATATTGTTTACTATGATTTATTTTAGATGAGTGACAGTAACAACAACAGTAGAGATAAAGAAAAAAGTTTTGTTTGGAAGCTAAAGGGACCTTTTTATTGGGTTGATCCTCAAAATTGGGGTGACTCAAATAAAGCAGTTCCGGATTTTGAGAGAATTCCCTGTTCAATGGACACTGTCATTTTTCCAAATAAAAATCACGCCTTGAGTATAACTTTGCCCAACACCAATGTCAAAGTTAAACAAATAAAAATAGGCCAAGAACAAACTATTGATGAATGGCGTTGGCATTCAATGATGACTGGTAGAGAATTTCGCAACAGTCCTCTAACAATCAGGTAAGTTAATTATTAATATATAATTATTTTTAATATAGTAAAATTAATTTTTTTTAAATATAGTTACAGCGGATTACAATACTGTGAATCGGATTGTATCTGCAAGCCAGAAAATTCCAAAGAGTTGCTAGCGGAAATTTGTAAAATTCAAGCTCCAAGATGTGGACAGCTTCAATGTGAATTTCCACTTCAGGTGTTTATTATTTTATTGATTTTACATTTAGAATAATTATTGACAACTTTTTTTTTCCTTTTTAGATTCAAGATCACTGCTGTGATTACTGCGGGGGCCGAGTTTCAGTACCCAGTGAGACTATTACCGTGTCGAAACTCGGAGAAATAGCAGAGGAGGAATTTAAAAATAATAAAGAAATTTATTGGCATGCTCGATTTGCTCCGGACAGACCAGAGCTTGAGATTCTTATTGCTGAGAGGGGAATTTATTCGGGAATAAAAAGCCAAGAAGCCATTGACAAGCTCCTTCGACGGTTGATGGGTTGCTTTTTATTATTTATATTTATTGTTATGTAAGAGTGTCGCTTTTAATAATATAAATCTATTTTTTTTTTTTTTTTTTTTTTTTTTTAATAAAATAGCTAAAGGAATTCCTATTGTTGAAGCTACGAGTACTGGAGCACCTTTAACAGGCTCTGTACTTGGAAATACACTGGGACCTATGTTTGGAATTCCAATAATTATTTTATTAATTATTCTACTTGGACTTCCGTACTTTGGGTACTCTTACACTCAGTAAGTATATTATTTTAAAAATTACTTGATTAAATAATTGTTAACAGCTGGGGTACTTGTTAAGATTAAAATTATCTTTGTCTTTCTCTTTCTCTCTGTATTTTTATATTAAATGCAAGTGCGTTGCTAGTATATATATATATATATCTATAGGATATAAATCCAAACTATTAAGTGATTACGCATACGCAGAGAACAAATTTCTCTAATTCTCTGGTTTAAACCGAACACCTGTCGCTCTTGTATTATTAAAACTTGAAATTATAACGTTACACCCACTGCAGACTACTCTGTTAAATATTTAATAATATTATTTCTTCTTTAGTATCCATTTATATATATAAAACCTCAATGGAAACTACTAATTAAGGAATACCCAGCCTTTTAATTATGACACATTTCACACAGCATCTCTAATATTATTCAATTAACTATTTTTTTTTTATCTATTTTTGGTTTAAACTTCCCTTTAATTAAAACTTTCTCTGGTAGTAAATTTTACAAAATTGTTACAGTATTGTGTCTGTATGGAGAGACGCGTACGGAACAGTACGTGAAGGAATACCTTTTTACAGTGACGATGGCTTTGCCAGATTTGAAAATTTACCAGAGGGTCATGTACAACTATCTGGTCAAAGTACTTTAGACGATCTTAGTGACAATAGTGGTAGTATAAGCGGCGGCCAGAACGAGGGAGAAGGTAAACGCTTCGAAAACCCATTGTATAGGTCAACAAGAAAATCCCCAGCAGAGCAAGAGACTTTATCAGATAATAATCAAGAGAGTAGTGAACAAAGTATTATTAATATTGATCTACCAGTGAGCTTAACTCAATTGAAAAAAAAAGTATATTCTTCTGAAGATACTCACATCGACTCGGATTAATTTAAAAAATTTTTTACTTTTTAAAAACATTCTCATCTGTAACAATGACATGCGATATCACTTTGAGACCTTCAGGGCTGCTGATACAATATCTCTAAGATAAAATATTGAAATATCAGAATATCAAATACCAGGAAATTTGATCGTGTCTGATAATTATTCCTTTGTTATTATTATTTAAATATCGATTTTAAAAATAACAATAGTATTATCAAGTTATTTGTTTACTTTATTTATAAGTATACAATTTTTTTTTTTTTAAATAATATAAAAATTTATTTAAAATAAACTATCGTAATTTTTTAAAGAACGCGTAATCTTGCTTTGGTGTATTTATTTGGTCATTCCGGCCAGTATTTAAATACTTAGTATTATCCCACATTCGTGCATTGGAAGGTACATTTAGGAAATCAAGAAGGTGAGATGTTAATTGCGGAATAATTGGCGTTAAAATTAATGATCCGAGTCTAGCAGCTTCAAGACCGAGAGCTAATACACTCTCGAGTTTCTTTTGAGCTTCTGGATTATCAGTCTGTTTTGCCAGCGTCCACGGTTTGTCGTGATCAATCATTTTATTAGCCAAAAATAATGACTGCATAACAGTGTCAACAACTGAATGAAGATTAAAATTGTTGTAATGATTGTGAGCTACTGAAGATAGATTTTCAAGACTTTCTACTAATTTTAATGCTTCATCCGAGCCAAGTGTTTCTGCGTGACGCACACAAGGCTCGGGAATTATTTTACCAGGATTCAATGCTTTTCCCATACACCTGCTCACTAAATTTCCTAGTGTGTCTGCCAATTCAGCGTTTAATATCTTTCTTATTTTATCCTCACTGTAGTCTAATTTTGATAAAAAAAAAAAAAAAAAAAAAAAAAATTTAATAATTTATAAAAATAAAATAACTATAATTAAAATAACTTACTTGCATCACTGTGTGGTACAGCTTCTCGTAGAAGAAAATATCTCAACCCGTCAGCAGTAAATAATTTATTAGCAGCCTCTGAAGGTGACACGACATTTCCTTTTGATTTGGAGATTTTTTCATCATCAACTGTCCAGTGAGAGTGACAGAGGAGAGTTCTCGGTGGGTCTAAACCAGCTGCCATGCTGAATGCTGGCCAATACACGCCGTGGAATTTTAAAATGTCTTTTCCAATTATTTGGACTGTTGGTGGCCAAAATTTAGCAAACTCTTGATTTTTTGGATAACCTAGTGAAGTTAAGTAGCTAACTAGTGCGTCTAACCAAACGTAAATTGTATGAGAATTATCGTTGGGGACTTTAATGCCCCAGGGTGCTCTTGAGACTGGTCGAGAAACACTCAAGTCCTCTAAACAACTTCCTTCCTCGATCCAGGACGTCAAAATTTTGTGAAATTTTATTGGTTCAACAGCCTTGACTATTTTTGATTAATTAAAATTATTAATTTTTAATTAAAAATATGATAAATAATAAATATTACCATTTTTTAACCAGTACTTGAGATCATCCTGCATTGAACTAAGTTTAAATTTATAATTATCTTCTTCCATCCATTGAACGAGATTACCCGAGGCCGCAGATACTTTTATTGTTTTACCGTTTGATACTTTTTCCAACAACTCGGACTCTGGAACAAAAGCTTCGTCGGATACGCAGTACCACCCGGAATATTTTCCCAAGTACAAGTGCCCATTTTCTTTAAGCGTAGTCTGTAAAATTTTATTAATCATTAATTATTATTATTATTTTTTTAATTTATTGGCTGTCCAGTTTAATACAACAAATTTTTTTTCTTCTGTATTTTTGTCATATTAAAGATAAATTTGACTGAAAAAATAATTCAGACGGCCCAGACCGCAGTACTCGAACCTGGATCTTTTGGTTATATAAATTAAATTAATCCAATAATAAATTAAAAAAAGAAATATTAAAATTATACCCAAAAATGATTAACAGCTTGATGATGCCTCAAGTCTGTCGTCCGTATAAAATTCGAGTATGAAATATCAAAATTATCACACATATCTTTAAATAATCCAGATATTTTGTCTGTATAATTTTGAGGAGATAAATTATTAGCATTCGCAGCATCAGAAACTTTATTGCCGTGTTCGTCGGTTCCAGTACTCAAAAACACCTGATGTCCCAACATTCTGTTGTACCGTGCTAATGCATCTGCCAGACTAGCTGTGTAAAGATGTCCAATGTGTGGTCCTTAACAATTTTAAATAATTAGAATTTTTTTTTTTTTAATAATTAAATAGAAAAAAAAAAAATGTGTAATGAAGCTACCAGCGTTTACGTAGAATATAGGAGTTGTTAGATAAACATTTTTCGGGCGATAATCAACATATGTCCTCGTGAATGTTTTATTGATCCATGATTTATTATTGGACACCGATCTCATCAGTGGAGTCATTAATTTACTTGCTGTAAAGGAATAATAATAATGATGATAATAAAATACTTGTCTTTTATAATTATTTAACATTTATTAATTAATTTTACACGTTACTAATTATTTTAAAATGAATTTGTAATGAGGGGATTATGAAGATTGCTTTTTTTGAGAAAATGTTTCAGTTAAAAGTGAAATTGTCTCCAACTGTTTAACTAAATCCATGTGTTTAAATTGATCAGGGTGTTTAGTAAATGTCTCGAGTAATTTTAAACGTTCGGGATTGTCTTTAGCGTAATACAGTTGTAATTCATTTGCGAGACACTGTGCCTCCTGTACGTTGATGGTTTTACTGTCAAATTCACCCTTCATCAATACTATTCCTTTATAATCACGTAAATCGGTGTAGTGTACAATAGTCAAACACTCGGGAGCATTTTCTTGGTGAGTTTGATACCAAAGCAAGGGTGTCATGTGAATTTCATTTCCAGAAAATTGACTTAAAATAAACTCGTAGCCGTTTTCACGCGGCAATGGTAAAATAAATGTCGGATACTGGGATCCTCTTTCAAACATTAAGTCAAATGTTTCTGGCTCCATTACCCCACAAATACAGTCCTTTTGTTTGTGATAATTTAACCAGATATCTGTAATTTCCTGCTTGCCTTTGTCCTCAAGTAACTCCAGCTTCATAACGTCCGACAAACGTGACACCTTGGTTTGTTTTAAATCCGATGACAGTGACGGCTTGGCACTTGCTTCTTTATTAATCTTTGCTGCTGATTCCTTTGACTCTATATAACAAAAAATATAATTCAATTAATAACAAAAACGCAATTATATTATAAATTGTATAATTGTATTCATACTTGATGGACGTTTCTTTTTTTCAGTTTCTTCAATTCTCGATATAAATTCATCTGGATTTGTTTGCTGCAACTTGGCAATAGCTCCAGCATACTTGTCGAAATAAGGATTGTCTTTTAATCCCTCGAGGAGCTTTTTAGCTCTCACTGCTGAACTTGTCATTATATTTTTATAAAAAAAATTATTATTTACAACTGATGAATTTAATAATCTCAATGATAATATTTTACTCATTGGTTATAACTAAATATTTAAATACACTGCAACAGCAACACGATTAATTTTATATACTGAATAGAATAATATAGGTTATAACTTATAACACATTTAACAGGTAACAGAGCCAGCCCCATTTATTTTAAAAAACGCGGCAAGTTTTAAATAAAAATATATTTGTATTATAACAAAAACATTTATTTGATAAATAAAAAAATTTTCATCAATCTTATTATAATATTTATCAAATAATAATAATAATAATAATAATAATAAAAAATTATTATTACAAATAGTATATAAATGAGTATTGCTAAAACTTAAATATAATAATAAACAAAAACACACTGATAAATTAAACGAAAAAACATTCTTTGGATTAATTATAATTAATAATTTTTTTTGTTCTTATTTTATCTATTAAAATCTATCTTATTAAAAATTTTTTAAACGCCATAATTGTATAACATGACTATTTAAATAATTAAAATTAAAGTTATGCAGTCTTTTACTAAATTACTAAATAAAATATTAAATTTTTTTTTTTTATATGATATTTAATTGAAAAATTAATCAAATACTGGTGTAATTGAAATTTAAATATTTACGTCCATTTCTCTCATAATTAATATATAACACATATATTAATATAATAATATTGCTATAGAGTAAGAGTTTTAAGAAGCATATTTAAAATGATGACCTGTGTGACTAGGCCACGACGGAAGTAATATTTAATATATTTATTATTATATTAAGAGATCATTCCATATATATATATATATATATATATTATTTTTTTTTTTTTTTTTTTTTTTTTTTATATGAAATTTCTACGAACAAGTTTTATTATTTAAAGTTTGCTACGTCGTATAACTGGCAGTTAATATTATTATAATGATCAAAGTGAACACTTTAATTGAAATAATAATAATTATTATTATTATTAGTTATTTAATAAAATTGTAATCAATCGCGTGAAGATTCTTCTTTGATAGCCATTGTTATTAATGAATTGGATGATGAGGTATTACATTCCTCATTGTTACCGTTATCATTATCTTTATAAGTAATATTAATAACATTGCAATTGGCTTTAAAATCAGTCTTTGATTTTTTATCATTTTGGTTAAAATCGTTATCTATAAATCGTAGTTTACAATCAATCCCATCAGTCTTAGCGTCGGTGCTGGCGTTATTATTATCTGATAACAGTGTTCCAATAACATTTGCCGTTCGTGTATTAACTGAGTGTACATCATTTAAATGTTTGTATAGCTGTACACTTGTACGAAATTCCATATCGCAATTTAATATTTTACATCTAAAACAATTAAAAAAAAATTTATTATTATTTATTTTCTATTATCTTTATAATAATAATAATAATTACCGAAATAATTGATTGCTTTTTATTTGTGATTGTACAATTGGTGTTTTTGTATTGTTTGCATGATTATCTTGATAATGTTTCCATAGACTAGTTACATTATTTACTTGAGCTCCACAACCAGGTATTTTACATCTATTATCAAAAATAAAATCATTATTATTTTTTTATTTAATTGATATTGTAAAATAAAAATATTAATAGTATACTTACAAAAAAAAGCTAACAGTAGATGCTTTACTTTGTTGTTGTTGTTGTTGTTGTTGTTGTTGTTGTAGTTGTAATTGTTGTTGCTGCTGTAATTGTTGTTGTTTAATTTTATTTGATTTTAATAATTTATTAGCTTCCTTATTTTCTTGTACTTTATGACTGTCCTGGTGATGTCGATAGTGAGATATATACTTGTACATTTTACCACAACCATTAACTTCACATTTATAGGGTAATTCTTGTTTACACCTCGACATTCTTTGTTTTTTAGGTGTATATTCTTCATCATCCTCATCATCACTGTTTGTTGTTTTATTGGTATCACTATTATTATTATTACTAGTAGTAGTAGTTGTTGTTGTTGTTGTTGTTGTTGCTGTAGTAGTGGTTGAAGTAGTAGAAGCACCATTATTATTATTACTATTATTATTATTATTATTATTATTATTATTATTATTATTATTATTACAATTATTTTTATCATTACTCGATTCAATATTTCTACAAGTTTTATCCTCAAATCCACTTCTAAATACTTTTTCAAGATTACCCAAATCTATCCTATGCTCTTGTAATTTTATTTGTCCTTGTTTATTATCATACAGTATACTATTAGAGTTATTAGTGTGATTAGTGTCTTTATTATCACTAGTGATAAATAATTTGGCAGAATCATTGGAACGATTATCATAATTTTCTTCTGGTATTATCAGTCTATTTTTGTTATTAGAGTCATTTGATTTATTATTATTAATAATAATATTTATTTTTTCATCAATCATTTCAATGCACTCGTCGTCATTTAAGGTTTCATCATCATCATCATCATCATCGACAATATGATTACCAGTGGTTGAAGTAGTACTACCTGGACCCTCAAAACATATTATTTCTGGCTCAGTGGGTATCAGAGCTGGTGTATGTCGATGACTATTTTCTATATGTTGCTCTAAATTAACACTGCTGGTGTGTATTGACCCACCGCAACTTGTATAAGGACAAATAAATATATTTGTCGTTTCATTGCTGTGATACTCTTGATAATGACGCCACATTGTCCCCGGATCTGACAGTTCTTTTCCACATCCTGGTTCTCGACATCTTAAATAAAAAATTTTAATATATTTAACAATAAATAAATAAATAAATAATTAAAATAATAATAATTAAATTTACATAAAACGTATTTTTAATTCTTCTAAAGCTTCGTGTGTCTTGTATTCATCTTGATTTGTAAATATTTTACCACAACCCTGCTGTTTACATGTATAAATTTCCTGAAAATTTTTATTTAATTAACATATTTGTAATATTTGTTTTGGATTACAGGTCATTGATCTTTATAAGCTCAGTGACTGTCAACTGTAAAGTACCTTTTTTGGAGCTATTTCCTCAATAGTCCGGTTCCTGGACACAAATCTTATGACACTAACTTCTGTTGGACGGTCAGCACACTCTGTTCCTTGGCCCATTTCTTTTTTTTATTTTTTTTCCAACACTTTGAGATTAAAAATTAACTTTTACATAACCTGTGTGGAATTAAAAAAAAAAAAAAAAAATTCACTTGAGCTATAAATTTAACATTTATTTTTATTGATCAACAATTTTAAAATCAAGTCTTTAAATATCAATGAATATCTGTGATTATAGTATTTAGATTCTCTTACTTGAAGGTGAATAATAATTTCTTTAGATAAAAAACATTGTGTAAATAAACGTTAATTATAAAAATGATTATTTAAATATTTGTTGTGTCATGTCAACGGACTGATGCTGATCACTGATTGAAAATGAAAATTGAGAAGCACTGTTGACCAGGGGTTGGGCGCGCACATCAAGCTCTGTCAGGGTGAATGATCTTTTTATTTTTATTTTTTTTTTTTTGTTGTATTCAAACTTCCGATAACAAAGGAATCTTCTTTATCAACCTGGAGGTTTTATAATATAGGTTATTATTTTTCGCGGTAAAATAATTTTGACGCGGCTTTGTTTATTATAACCTCAAATAGATTTTTTTGTCTTTTTTTTATAATAAAAAATAAAAATATACAATTAATTATTTAAAAAAAAAAAAAAAAAAATGGCAAACTTTGGTGGAAGACAAGATGGTGATATGCCAGAAGAGTTTCAAAGTTTTATTCAAGTAATGTCACAAAAGGGAATTTACTCGGATGCCGAATTTAAAGCTGCCATCAGTCATATTACTGGTACTAAATTTTATTTATTTTTTAAAATAATTTATTTTATTTATTTATAATTTGAAAGAAAAAAATTATTATAGGTCATCGCAATGTCACGGAAGTTACACGTGATTTAAATAAAGCGTTAGCTGAAGTTGAAATGACAATCCAGTCATCAAAGTGTGAAATTACTGGTGTCAAGCACTGGGTATTTGCCAGCACTACCATCGATGATGACAACAATCAAGTTGAAGTAGAGCCTAATCACGATCAAGACACTGATCAAGAGTAATATTTTTTTTTTTATTATTATTATATTTAAACATAACAAGTTTTATAATGATTATTTTTTCAGAGGAGACAGTCTTTTGTTTACAAAAGGAAAGCTCGAATTACTTAAAATGATAACAAGTGTTATATTATCTCGTAACGATAACAATTGCATTTCTAAAAACGATTGCATCAATTTAGTTAGCAGTATTAAGACTAAATTATCTCGTAGCAGCGTTGACAAGTTTATAAAGCAGATGATTGAAGGACGTTGGTTATTTTATTTGGTAAATATTATTATTTGAAATTAATAAAATTTTGTTAATAAAAATGATTAATAATTTATTTTTTATTAGGATGGAAATGTTTACCTGGGAGTACGTGGTATTGTTGAATTGATGCCTTATTTAAAATCTGAAAATCCAAATCTTAAAACTTGTCAATTGTGCAAGCAGACTGTCATTTTCGTAAGATTTTATTTATTTTTAATAATTAATTATGTTATTGTAAAAATAAATTATTAATTTATTTATTTTTTTTTTTTTTTTTTTTTTTTTTTTTTGTTTTTTTTTTTTTTTTAGGGTCAACTGTGCCAAAAATGTGATAAAAAAATGCACATTTACTGTTTAGCTAAGTACTTTAAGATAAGCGAGAAGCACCAGTGTCCCAATTGTGGACACAATTTACAGGTTAACAATCAATTTATGGCTCGTTATTCCAACGACGATGACGACCTTGAGGATCATCCAAGTGTTCCAAGTAGCCAAAGTAGCCAAAGTACCCAAAGTACCCAAAGTACCCAAAGTACCCAAAGTAGCCAGTTTCGTGTCAGTCAATCTCAAGAACCTACACCTGGACCCTCTACCAGCCGTCGTAGTCGCCGTCGACGCATAGAAGATTAACGAGGATAAACAAAAATTAATAAATTAATTAATAAGTACTTTTAAGAAAAAAATTAAATTTATTTTTTGTTATACTTATCAACAAGTTAACTATTATTAAAATTAAAATAAATATCCTGTTTAAATTTACCCGGTGAAAATGTTATTATTTTCATTTGCGCGCTACCTGGTAGTAATTATCTATAACTAAAAGTTGTTGAGAGAGAAAAAAAAAAAAAAAGACAACCTAAAAGAGAAAAAAATATCCTTCGTCAGTCGATAAAAATGGCGACCCGTCTCCTCAGAATCGGAACCGCATTACGAACTTATTCAGACAAGACCAATCTAGTAAAGGTAATTTATATAAAATTAATTTAATTATTTATTGTTTATTTTTCTTATTTAACTTGTTTTGTATTTTCTTACCCAATGTTTTTTCATCTTACGTAATCTCTCTTGCCCAATTGAGCATTTACGTTGTTATATTTGTTAAATTAAATAATCAGAGTTTTAATTATTATTTAATAGACACGTAAACAATGGAGGTCAACAGCAGCATCGCTCAAGGAGACGTTGATAAATCAACCACCGACAAAAACTACGACACTCGACAGTGGAATGCGCGTAGCCAGCGAGGACAGTGGAGCAGCAACAGCAACTGTTGGCTTGTGGATTGATGCTGGAAGCCGTTGTGAAACTGACAAGACCAATGGAGTTGCTCATTTTATGGAGCACATGGCTTTCAAGGTATAAAATTATTATTATTATTATTATTTTTTTTTTTTTTTTTCAGTGTTGATGTTAAAAAAAAAATATTTTAATTAATATAGGGAACATCTAAACGATCGCAAACTGACTTGGAGCTGGAAATTGAAAACATGGGAGCTCACTTGAATGCCTACACCAGTCGGGAGCAAACTGTATTTTACGCAAAGTGTTTGTCAGGAGATGTTCCAAAAGCTATTGAAATTCTCAGCGATATTATCCAAAATTCTAAACTCGGTGAGAGTGAAATTGAACGTGAGCGAGGAGTTATTCTTCGTGAGATGCAAGAAGTCGATACTAATCTTCAAGAAGTAGTATTTGACCATTTGCACTCTACAGCTTTTCAAGGTACTCCATTGGGCCGTACAATACTTGGACCCACTGAAAATATTAAATCAATTACACGTAAAGACCTGGAGCACTACGTTAAAAGTCACTATGGACCTCCAAGATTTGTTTTAGCTGGAGCTGGTGGAGTTGACCACGGACAGCTTGTTGAACTAGCTGACAAACACTTTGGTAAAATGAAGGGACCTGTTTACGAAGAAATTCCACCTGTTTTGACTCCATGTCGTTACACTGGATCTGAAATTCGTGTTCGGGATGATTCAATGCCATTGGCCCACGTTGCTATTGCCATTGAAGGAGCTGGATGGGCCAGCGCTGACAACATCCCTCTTATGGTTGCCAACACACTTTTGGGATCTTGGGACAGAAGTCAAGGTGGTGGTGTTAACAACGCCTCTCATTTAGCTAAAGCCTCCGCTGAGGATGGACTTTGTCACAGCTACCAAAGCTTCAACACCTGTTATCAAGAAACTGGACTATGGGGAGTTTACTTTGTCTGTGACCCAATGCAGTGCGAAGACATGGTTTGGAATATCCAACAAGAGTGGATGAAACTCTGCACCAGTGTAACTGAAAAGGAGGTAAACAGGGCTAAAAATATGCTCAAAACAAACATGTTACTTCAATTAGATGGTACTACCGCTATTTGTGAAGACGTTGGAAGACAAATGCTCTGCTACGGTCGACGAATTCCTCTCCACGAGCTAGAAGCTAGAATTGATGTAAGTTAATACATTTTTTTTTTTTTTTTTTTAATCATAATCTTTGAATATTAATGGAATTTAATTTATTTATTTCAGAGTATTACTGCCAAGACTATTCAGGATGTTGGTATGAAGTATATTTACAACCGGTGTCCAGTTGTCGCAGCCGTTGGTCCAGTAGAAAATTTACCAGATTACAATACGATGAGAGCATCCATGTACTGGATCCGTGTTTAAAATATAGAGAAATAAAATTAAAATCGTTTAGATAATAAATTATTAATAATATAATTTAATAATAAACACACAACAATAAAATTCAATTGGTAGTAAACTTCTTGTCAATATTCGAATTATATTTCATTATATATTCTTCGGATTTAATTATCATTATAAACAATGTATATAAAGATAAAAAAAACATCAAATAATGTTGAATGTATAATTAAAAATATAAATGCTTTTTTCTTTTCTTATTATTATTATTATTTGTTTATCATCATGACTAGACTCCCCCCCCCCCTCCCCCCTATATTACTAATTTATTTTATTACAATTATTAATAATTGGTAGATTTTATTATAAAATAATTTAAGAATATGGATGATGATCCTTTGAAAGCGATTCCATTTTGAGTAATTTTTTTTGCAGAGAAGTTGATGGCTACCTGGACGAATTTGTTGTCATCGAAGGCGACTGACTCTGTGATGAGGATACCGGAGTATTATTGCAAACCTTTGAAGTCATTTCAGACAACGGTTCCAATTCTTTGGTATTGATTAAATCAAACTCGGTGACAAAGTAATAAAAATGTTTGTAGCAAGTATTAACGTGAGCTTCTGCTCCAATAGAAACTATTCGATCAAAATGATGAATGTAAACATGAACAAATACTCGAAATAGTCTTGTCAGAATTTTTTTACATAAACTTGTAAAAGTCTTTGGAAATGGAACGTCAGTGGTTACTGGAAAGACCGATTCATTATTTATTTGAGCTTCTATCCAATCCATAAGCAAACTAACGTATTGAGGAGCTGGTAGAGCTAATGGCTTTTTATATTTATCACCGTCTGCCCATAGGTACTCAAATCTTGCACCGCCGCTCATCGTTGGACACGATGTTGCGTCACAGTACTCGGATACTGTTCCATAGATTAAATTTATTCGATTAAAAAAATCAACCACTGAAACAATAAAGCTCCCGATTATTATTATTATCAAATTTGAAAAAAATCTTTTAAATAATAATAATAATAATTACCATGAACAGCAATCCAATCGTTTAAAGCTTCACCAGGAGGTAATTTTACAGCAGTACGAAGATTTATTCCTGAACTTAAGGAAGCTTGAGCTTGTTTATACAATGAATATCTCAATGTCCCATGAGTAAATTTTTTTTTTGGTCGAAATGTCTTAAAAAATAATTATTTATTTATTATTATTATAATAAGTAAACTTTATTTTACACAATAATAATATATTTAATACTTTACCTTGCCTTTTTGAAAAAATTCCATAAATCCACTTAATGACGTCATTTTAATTATTATTATTATTATTATTTTATTTAAAATTCATATTATATTTAAAATGGCGTACGAATTGTATATATCCAAAAAATTATATATACATATGATATATAAATATATTCAAGTGCCTATTGCACATGGCTGCGTAAATAATTATTTTGTGAAATTCTTTAACGCATCTACTAAAAGTTAAATATTAATATTTTTTTTATATTTTCCAAATGAATTTAATAGGTCATAATTATTAATATAATTAATTATAATTAATCAGATGAATATTGTTGTGTTGTGATGTATGTCTATTTTTAGAATTTTTTTAGAGTAAGTACTTGATTTGAAAGGAGGAAAAAAAAAAAAATTATCGATTTTCATAGATGGCGTGACTATCGCAGAGGTATTTAAATTTCGCGCGTGACGATATCTCAAACGTCAAAATGGCAGCAGTAGTAGTAGTCGCTAACAACAATACTATGGCGTCAATCGTAAAGGTGAATCAAGAAAAAAATGATCAAACAATTTATCAAGAATCTGAAATATTTTCCACCGGATTTACTTTATTTGAAGAAATTCGAAAAACTGGTAAACTTTGTGATGTTACACTCAAAGTAAGTAAACTTTTATTTCTTTCCTACTAATTTTCTTATTTGTTCTCTGCTGATATTTTATTTTTAAAAATTCATTACTCATCATCCCAGTCGCAACAATTTTATATACCAGCTTTCTTTGTATATCATTTTTAATTATATTAATTAATTATTTACAGGTGGAAGATCAAAGTTTTAGTGCCCATAGAGTTGTACTGGCAGCAACAATTCCATATTTTCATGCAATGTTCCTAAATAATATGGTAGAAAGTAAATTAAGTGAAATAACACTTCAAGGATTCGAATCTATGTATATAATATTTTTTTAATTAATTTATTAAAAATTAAACACTATCTTATTAGATTAATTATTATTATTATTATTTCAGGGCATTGGAAGCTTTAATTAATTATGCGTACAGCGGTAGAATAGTATTAAACAAAACAAATGTACAAAGTATTATGGTAGGAGCTTCATTTTTACAATTACAATCTGTACGAGATGCTTGTGCTGATTTTCTAAAGAGTCATTTGCATCCTAACAACGCACTGGGTATAAGTTTATTCGCTGATCGATTAAACTGTAGCTCACTTGTTCAAGAGTCGACAAAGTACATCCAGCAATACTTTCACCAAGTCTCTTTGTCAGACGAATTTTTAGTTTTGTCAGTGACCGATCTCAAAGAACTTATTTCTAAAGACGATTTGTATGTCATGTCAGAGTCTCAAGTATTTGAAGCGGTAATTAGATGGATAAAGCACAACGTTGAGGAGAGATTGATACACTTGCCGAAATTACTGATACTTGTAAGATTACCGTTACTCAGTCCAGAGTATCTCGTTGATCATGTAGCTAAGGAGGATCTTATTCGAAGGTCTCACGAGTGCAGAGATTTATTGGACGAGGCTAAAGACTGTCACTTGATGCCTGAACGTAAACATTTGCTGGAGAGCTACCGGTTCAGGCCTCGAGTTTGTACAAATATTGTTGGGCATATTTTTGCTGTTGGTGGACTCACTAAATACGGTAATTCTCTCAGCACCGTCGAAGTTTATGATTCAGCTAAAGGAATTTGGCGAAAATCTGAAGCTATGACAATGGATCGTAGTCGAGTTGGTGTTGCTGTTCATCAAAATAAATTATACGCCTTTGGTGGGTACAATGGAGTTGAAAGACTGGCAACTGTTGAAGTTTATCATCCAGCTTTAAAAATATGGAAAATAATAGCTCCGATGCATCACAAAAGAAGGTAACTTTTAACTATTATAATCTCATATTTTATTTTATTTTTTATTTTATTATATTTTATTACAGTGCAGTGGGATCAGCAGCTTTAAATGATTATATTTATGTTTGCGGTGGTTACGATGGTGTCATTTCATTAAATACCGTTGAAAGATATTGTCCAAAAACGGATAAATGGCAATTATTGCGCCCGATGAATAAACATAGATCTGCCGGAGGTGTAGTTGCTTTTGACGGGTATATTTATGCATTAGGTGGTCATGATGGTCTATCAATATTTGATTCTGTAAGTAATATATTATATAATATATAAATGTATAATTATTAATTAATACTTCATTATTATCAATTAGGTTGAACGTTATGATCCACAAACTGGATTATGGACAACGGTAAAACCAATGCTTACTCGCAGGTGTCGTTTAGGAGTATCAACACTTAACGGAAAATTGTATGTTTGCGGCGGTTACGACGGATCAACATTTTTACAGTCTGTTGAAGTATACGATCCAATTAAAGACACGTTAGTTTTATTTTTTTAATTAATTTTTCATAGAATTTATGGTTCTTTTTTTTTTAAGTTAAATAATTACAGATGGGAGTACATAGCGCCTATGAATATGATGCGAAGCCGCGCGGCTTTGGTTTCAAATATGGGTAAGCTCTGGGCGATTGGTGGATACGATGGTGTCACTAATTTATCAGAAGTTGAAGTTTACGATCCGCAAACAAATTCATGGTCTTTTGCCACTCCGATGTGTGCTCACGAAGGTGGAGTAGGTGTCGGTGTAATTCCAAATCCGTATTGTTAATATTAATTATTATTAAATCTTGCCTGCGACTGCATTTAATGCTATTGTGTAATTTTGTAAAATAAATTTTTCATTAAAATTAAATTAAATATATATATATATATTAAGATACTTGATTTTTATTTTATTCAATCAATCAAAATCAATATATATTATACATTTAAGATTTTATAATAATGTGTGTGATGTCAATACATAATAAATTATCTAGTAAATTATTAACACAAAATTATATATATTTAATTTACAGACTATCTACACAAACTAATTCTTTATTTTTAATAAATTAAGAAGAAGAAAAAAATGCTTAATTATTATTATTATTATTATTATTATTTTGAAAAACATTAATAATTAGTTGTTGTTTATTTTTATTTTTTTTTTTTTTTTTTTTTTTTTATGCGGCCTGTACTTCTTGCAATCGTTTACAAGATGGAGTTTCTAAATTTTTAGCGCGTTGGAATAATTCGGCATCTCCAAAATTTCTAGCTTTCCATACCATTGAATCCTCTGAAATAATTAATTAATTAATTAATATTTTGTTAAATAAAATAGAGTATTTGTCAATTAAAACTTACTATAATTTTTTTCTCTATAACAAGCATGCCTTAAATTATTTACAAATTCTTCTTCGACAGAAATTTCTAAACGTCTTAAACTTCCTTGGTACTCGCTGTGGAAATTTTCTTTAACATAATAGGGTACTTTCATTTCTTGGGTTTGTCTTTGGACCGAATATTTACTAAAACAATAATTTAATTAATTAATTAATTAATTAAAAGATAAATAGTGATTGATTTAAAGAAATTAAGAAAAAAAAAAAAAAATTTACGTACGAATTAGGATGTAAGCTATACAATGGATCCCAAATGAAAAAACTACTCATCATAGTTAATACGATTAACAATAATACCGGAAGCATTTGTAAAAATGCGGTATAACCATTAGCTTGTTGAGTATGGGCGTGCTGAGCCTGAGCATTATTTTGTCTCATCCACCTACCACCGGTTCGTCGCATATAAAATTCTTGCTGGGGAAAACCACCACCAAAGAACATGTTGAACAATTCTTCGGCTGTAATGTCCGCTTCAAACCCTCGTGAATAATTATAATGGGATTGGGCTGACCTAGATTGCGCCGACTGCAATCTCTCTTCGTCTGATCCGTACAAATCATATTGTTTACGTTTTTCAACGTCTGTTAAAACAGCTACTGCATTACCAATAGCTGCAAAATAATAATAAACATAATTATTATTATTATCAAGTGTTATTCTAAAATATTTAAATATAATATAAATAAATACCTTTAAATGCTTCTGAGGCACCAGGTGCTTTATTTTTATCTGGATGTAATTGTAAAGCTAATTTTTTATATGCCTTTTTTATTTCACTATCCGTGGCCTCCTTGGTCACTCCCAAAATTTCATAATAATCCTTACACTTTTTAATACGTTTTACATGATCATATTGATCCTTGCTATAATCATTACTAGCAGAGGTTGGTTGACTAGATTCTTTACCAGTTTGTCTTTTTCTAACTTCAGGCTCTGGCTCACTTTTTTTATTTTTATTCAATAATGAAATTTTATTCAATAAATCTAGAAATAAAATTATTTTTTAAATAACAACAACAATAAAAAATATTAAAAACTTTAAAAAAAAAAAAAAAAAATTATTACCATCATATTTTTTCGATGGATACAACTTGATGGCTTTTTTAACAAATTTTTCCGCATCATCGAATCGTTTTCCTTTAATATACATTTCAGCCAATTCAATACACCTTTCAGCTTCATCCTTATTACCGTCCATTATTATTATTATTATTATTGTTTTCTTCTTTTTAACTTTTTGTATTGATTAATTTATTAGTATCATTCAATTGACAGATTTTTATATTCTGCTCGTATTTTTAAATCATTACCTTAAATATTTTTATAATTATAATAATTTATATCAAATACTTGAAAAATTACCTTGTCACGAGTTTTATTAACGTATATACACATATATATATTATATTTAGGTATATATTTATCATTAACAAAGAAACCTAGTCAGTGTAATATGAATATTTTATTAATACATACGTGTACATATAAATTTATTACTCACACACTGACACACAGACTGATATATACGTCATTATTAACAAAAAAAAAAAAAAATATATATATATAACCAATTTTTTTTCTATTACACATAAATTTCGTTAGATGTCACCACAGTCTTGAAAATTCGCTCTACTGAAATCGGATAATTATAAGGTATATTTTATTATTCTGTACTATACTATACTACAATAAACTTACAGCAATGTAATGACTTTTTTTGCTTAGAGAGATCAAGAATAATTTTTTTATACGCAAGTAATAAATAAAATAACTCTATTGAAAATTATAAATAAATAATTGATATATAAAAAATATCTATCACAATAAAAGTTACTAGGATAAAACACGTGTTTAAATATAAAAAATTTTATTGTTAGTATTTATTTTTTATTTAAATAAATATAACAATGATTATGAGGATATTTAACCTAATAAATGAAGATGGACCGGGAAATGTTTGATGATGATGATGACAGAGATTACCCTACTCAATGGGCATTAAATCCATCAATGTATCAAAATATGAGCAATGATCAAGGTAATTATTATTTTATTTTATTTATATTAAAATCTTAAATAATTTATTAATAATATATTTTTTTTTTTTTTTTTTTCCTCTTTAGTTGATTGGGCAGCTTTAGCTCAGCAATGGATAAAAATGAAAGAAACTGTGGTACCACCAGCACCACCTCCACCAAATCTCACCAACGATGGAGATACAGAAGGTGGCGAGGCACCTATGGACATGGATACCCTTGGTGATGACGTACCACCAGCCCCCCCAGCTCCAAACATAAGTGGAAATGACAATTGGAATGCCTGGAGCCAGTGGGGCCAATGGAATACCTCGGGACCGGGTGGTGGATTTTGGGAATGGAGCGGAGTTCCACCTCCTGGTGTTCAATTGGGTCCTGACGGTAAACCTATGGGAATACCAAGTATTCCAGGTGTTCCTGTTCCTCCTGCACCGACAATCACTACCAGAACTGGATTTAATGTCCCACCACCAGCACCTGGCTATTCATATAATTCTGTAACACCTACACCGGGTAATTTTAATTCTGTAAGTACATTTTAATATTTTTTATTATCTACAAGAATTGTTTCCTTTTTTTTTTTTTTTTATAATAATAATTTTTAGGTATCAGGATACTGGGACGGTAATTTAGCAACAGCTCCTGGTTCACCGACACTCAAAGGAATTCCACGGGGGGCAAGAATTCCTCACATGCGAGATTCTCTTCGCGATGAAAAGGATAAATTACTGGAGGAGGACACGACAATGGTTATTGACGCCGCTAAAAGACGTCAATTGCCGGCATGGATTCGCGAGGGTCTTGAAAAAATGGAACGAGAAAAGCACAAAGCTGTTGAACGTGAGCGTCAGGATATGCTGAGGAAACAAGAACTAGCTGCACGTAAGCTCGCTGAAGATGAGGCTCGCGCTGTTCTCGATCCTTCTAAAAGTAAATTTGACTCGGAATCTGACAAAGAAGAAGAAGAAGAAGAAGCAGAAGAAGAAGAAGAAGAAGAAGAAGAAGAAGGAGAAGAAGAACAAATCGAGGAGCAGCAAACACTCGATGAAATAAAAGAGACAAGTCCAGATATAATAACCAGGCAACGTAAATCTCGGTTTCGTGACGCATATTCTCCGGAAACTAGACTAATTAATTCTGAAAGCACGTCATCGGGATCAATAACTGGTGTTGCTGTTAAACGAACACGCGAACAAATTTTACAAGATGTAGTATGTAATTTTGTTTTAATATTTGTTATTATTATTGTTAAATTAAATAAATAATTTGTAATTTTTAGATGTTGAAAGTACGTCGATCTTTGACAGAAATATTATTAGAAGTAACAAATGAAGAAATATCAAGCGTATGCAGAGAAGTTTGGACTCGCCATCGCGTCAAAGGTACCACAGACAACCGTCTACTAATTAATGTGTTTATTATTTATCATTATTACTATTACTATTTTTTATTAACCCAAAATAATTTTAGTATCAAGGATGCAGTTTGTAATAATTATTTACTACCCTTAATTAAATTATTAAATAAAAGAAAAAAAAAAAAACAGATATTCTTTCAGCCAAACAAACGACATCATTAACTCGGTGGTTTTTGTTTTTCTTTTATAAATTAATATTTTGATTTTGATAAAAAATGATTATAAATTAATCAAACAAAACCTGAGCTACTTTATGAAGGAACAACCAACGGAAGATATAAATAGGGTTTAAGTATTGACTAAAATTCGTGTGTATTGTTAAGTCCCTGCAGGAGAGCCCCCCGTCGCATCCTACAACAACAAGGCCCCTCTTGCTCAGATCACTCGCAATTTGGGTGAGTTTATTTATTCATTATAATTCATTCCATTTTCACAGAGACAGTGAATATTTTTTTAATTACTCTATTGTTACTATATATTTCAACAAAAATTATAGGGTTTTTTTCGTCGTCCGCGCGTATCTGTCTTTTGTTTAATAAAAATTAATTATTTTTTTTTTTTTTTTTATTTTCTATAAAGGTCTGGGCATCTACGGCGACAGCAACAGCGAATCTGAGGATGAGGCTGATTCACCAGCAGCTCCTGACAACAATGACAATCAACACGATGACAGTGATTTAGAATTAAAGGTTTGTATTATATTTTATTTTATATTATAAAAATTATTATATATACAATCTCATATTTATTTATTTTAGGAAACTTTGAGGAGACGTCAAGCTGCGTTTAAAAAAACAGAAGAAGAAATAGAGGCGCGAATTGCTGAAGAAGAAGAAAATGAACGTAATAATGATGCTAATCATGAAAATTCAATTAATAATAAAACTTTGGGTATGGTTATTTTTTTTTTTTTTTTATCATTTTAATTATTATTATTGTTATTATTGAATAAAAAATTATAGATGATAAAGAAGTTAACAATGAACGTGAAAGATCAGAAACACAGTCAAGTGGACATACACCGCGTAATGAAGAGCACGTTAAATCATCCTCACGTTCAGTTGACTCGGAATCAAGTTCATCGAGTTCATCTTCGAGTTCGACTACTACAGAAACAAACTCGAGCTCTAGTAGAAATTTAAAGCGACGAAATGATAAGCGTAATGACAGACGTAAGCGTTACCGATCACGATCTTCCAGTCACAATCGCAAAACTAGTAAACGCAGCCGTGATCGGGATCGGGACCGAAAAAGACGAAGCAGATCTAGCACCAGATCACGTAGGTCAAGATCGAGATCCCGAAGAAGACGAATTGTCTCAAGATCTCGGTCACGAAGCAGGTCACGCTCGCGAAATCGTTCCAGAAGATCCCGGAGTTATGGTAGAGTTTCAACTTTGTCTTCTTCGGTAATGAGATCTCGGAGGACTCGGTCAAAGTCCAGAGACAAAGACAGAAAAAGATCCAGGTCCAGGTCAAGGTCGAGGTCCAGGACTAGATCAAGATCCAGATCACGTAGGCGTGAGGGTAAGAAGTCGAGCCATCGGTACAGAGATTGACAACTACCTTAAATACGGCACACTCCATTTCTTAAAAGGTTGTAAATATAAATAAATATTTATTAATGATCCCATTTCCCAGGATATTAGCATGGAAAGGATTTATTTTTATTAGTATTATTCTCAGGATGTTCTCTATTTTATTATTTAGAGTATATCCATTTTAATATAAAATATTTATTTTTTTCATTTTAATTATTTAATTAATTAAATTATTGTATTACAGATCTTTGCCAGGAGTAATTGCGTCAGTCCAAGACCACTACGGTATCCATTTATTATTATATTATTATTATTATTATTTTTTCTTCCTCTTTTAATATATAGACATATAAGTTATTATTCTAATAATTAAATTAAGTGAATAAGATTAAAAAATTAAATAATAAATTTTATAAATTATAAATAAGGTGTGGATGAATTAGTAGGTTTTTTAAAAATAAATTTATACACAGTACGTTTTGATGTATGAAAGTTGCTCGCTTAATATAACTTAATATTATTTCATATGTATATATACATAATATTAATTAATTAATTAATTAATTAAAAATCTATAAAATAATTAATTCGATTGAATATTGACATTTGTATTTTTATTTTCCTGTTCCATTTTTATAATTCAAAAATAAAATTAAACAATTTAACAGAAAATTTATTTGACATTTGTATATTATATATAAGTTTTTTTTTTTTTTTTAATTATTTTATACTTTGTAAATCGGAATGTAAAAATAATCGACTATGGAATCTCAATGATTTCTGTTATTTATTCTATTCGCAGTATTTACATGCCGTGAGGGAAAAAAAAAAAAAAAAAAAAAAAAAAAAAACAGTTTTTGTTAATAAATTAAGTACCAAATCGTTGGTGACATTTGGCAAATGCTTCTAAAATATTAATAAATTTATGCGGTGATATATTATGATGCGTTGGTACGTTGCTGTAATAATATATTTAAATAAATTAGAAAAAAAAAATAATTTTATTTTTATTTTTGTAATAAAATTATTAAAATACTTACTAAAATTCCGTTAATCTAATATGCCAGGGCAATAAACCAAAAGTTGAAAATGTTCGACCAGTAATAATAGCAAGATCTGGATCCGGCACTGATAACGATAATTTTTCATTAATTAAATCATAATTTATATCATCAGTCTTTAATAATTTTAATTTAACAGCTTGACTGAGTTCACGCGTTAATTTAATTATTTCTGGTTTGCCATCATTGTAAATTGCAAAATTAACTATGGTGTACTGTTTAAATTCTCCTAAAAAATTTAAAATTTAAATATTCACCAATGATGAAATATATAGCAAATAAATTAATAATTACCATTAGCTAAATTTTCAAATTTTCTGGTTATTTTGTTCGACCAAATAACACGTGATCCAAAACTAGGTGTGAGCTTATTGAATTCCTTTATCAATTGCTCCGACTTTTCATAAATTATTCCTGTAATAAATAAATAGTAATTAATTAATTAGAATAATAATAATAATAATAATAATAATAATAATAATTAATAATTAATAAGTTAGATTACCTTCTCTATCATAAAAAGTTATGTTTGGTATTCCAAGTGTACAACACCAGCCTACAATTTTAGCAAGATCGGAAAATGATACTTTGTCCTTGGAAGCAACGACAATAACCAGGTGGCTTGGTAGCTTCTCAAGTTTACTAACGTCACATACGTCAACAATTGTATCAATACACTTTAATGTCTTAGGCCGTAGGTAATTAATCAAATTGTCTTTTATTGTTATTAAATAATCGTAAACGGTCATCAACACCGTTACAATAAAATGAATTAATTTCAGCACTCGACAAAATAATTTCATTTTTTTTAATATTAATATTACTAATATTTAACATAATAAATTAATTAAACTATATAATACAAATAATCTAAATAAAAAAAAAAAAAAACGAGATTATTCTAGTTTTTATTCATATAAATAAAAACTACTTAACAACCGGCTAGGACAAATATCACGAGTATGATGACATTATTCCATTACTGTCTGGACTTTTATATATTTATCATCTTTTATCTCTCTTGCAGGTTATGTTCATCTCTCTAACACTCTAACAATTTTATATTCTTAAAAATCTATTGATTTTTTTTAATAATTATAATTTATTCCAATAATAATATCATTATTTTACAATATATTTAATAATAATAATAATAATAATAATAATAATAATAATAATTATAATATATTTTTTAATTGTTTATTTAAAAAATGTCAAAAAAGTTGCCAAGTTTAAATTTTGCCGGGATAAAATTAAAAATCAAGTAACCAATCAACTAGTCACGCGCAGAATACTTTTTAAATTAAGCGCCATCTGATAATCAAAATCCTGAACTACTTGAAATTATTATTATTATTATTGTTGTTTGTTAGAATCGTTAGTACATTAGTAAAAGCACACAGCACGTGTTTTTATCAGAAATTATTTATCAAGATATATATTAAAACAAATATTTTATAACAGTAATAGTAATAATTATTATTATATTTATATAATATAATAAAATATGGTTGTATTTGCGTGTAATAATTGCGGTGAATCATTGCAAAAACCTCGAGTTGCCAAACATTATCAATTTCAATGCAGAAAAAGGATTTCGCTATCCTGTGTTGACTGTTTCAAAGATTTTTTGTAAGTTTGTTTTTATTTTATAATAATAAAATAATAATCATAACAATTTTAATTCATGTTTTTTATTTTTTAAAGGGATGATGAGTATATAGCGCACACGAAATGTATTACAGAGGCCGAAAGATACGGAGGTAAAAATTTTGTAGCCAAAGCTTCGGCGAACAAAGGTGAGAGGAAACAACAAGAGTGGATTAAAATTATAAATAATGTTCTGGCCACGTCAAATCTCACCAAAGATGAAACAAATTTTTTAAAATCAATTTCCAAACATGAAAATGTTCCAAGAAAAAAGGGTAAATTTTTGAATTTTGTCAAAAACGCAATGGGATATCGTGTTAATTTAAGTACTGTCGAAAGCTGTTGGAGTAAAATTGAAACAGCCTTTAAAGAAAATGTTTCTGTCAATAACAAAGATAATAAAGATATCAAAAATGGAGAAGATAATAAAAATGGTATTATTAACGGTCAAAATGACAATAATAACAGTAAAAAGCGTAATTTAGAAAAAACTGAAATATTAAAAACTGAGACTAAAGAAAATGTTAAAAAATGTAAATTAGAATTAGATACTGTTGAAGCTGATGAAACGATAAATAGTGTAAGCGAAGTAAATGGAGATAAATTTAAATGGAAAGATAAAATAATTGAAATATTAGGAGATCGTGATGAAATTTCATTGAAAAAATTAAGAAAAAAATTATTAAATAAACATTTATCTTGTTATAAAGATAATGAAGAAAAATTTGATAAAAAATTAATGAAAAAATTAGGAAAAATAAAAGAATTAAAATTAGAAGATGATAAAATAAAACGTTTATAGTGACGTGTATGTATGTATTTATTAAAATTTTGATAAATAAATTTATAATAATATAATATAATTTACATTATTTATTTACAAATAGTCCGAATTCTAAACCTAATATTTAATAACATTTTGTTTGTTTGTTTTTGTCATTTTTTTTTTATATTAAAATATAGTTAATATAATATATATGTGTATATATTTTTAATACTATTGCTTGAGCTTGTAAAACCCTTGGCACATCTAATTGAATAATAAATTATAAAATAATATAACAAACAAGGTTGTTAAAAATATTTGTCATAAAAAGTAGATTTTTTTTTCGCAGAGTTTGATCGCAGTGATTTATTTATTAAATTTATTAAATTATTGGCGAGTTGTTTGTCGTAATTTTTGTATAGTTGGAGGACAGGATGTATCTCTTTGTCAAATGATGAAGCATTTGTCACTTGTATCCCGAGATGTGTGCGCTGAACGAAGTTGTTGCTGTTGGTGTTGAGATGCCGTTGGGGTTGGTGAGGGCGTTGTACCCTCAGCAGCTTGAATACTTTTCATTAACTCACGAAATACCTGTTATTATTATTATTATTATTATTATTATAATTAATTTATATTGTATTTAAATCATATCACCTGTACAACACGGCAATTAAATCTTGCGCTACATTCAACGTATCCACATCTCCAGTGTTTTCTTACAAGATTAACAATGTCACGATATCGAGCCCCGGAAGCAACTACCGCCGACAATTTGTCTTGTTTATTACCAACGACAAGCAACGGTACACCTCTCATATCCCTTGCTTCATACATTTGTTCCCGCAGCGTCCGGATATACTGAGAAAAAAAAAAAAAAAAAAAAAAGGATAATCCGATGTATTTTATACAAAACTTTGTTATTATAAGATTAAGTTATAAAGAGAGTATAGAATACAAAAACAAAAGTTTTAATATTAAAAAAAACATGACACGAATAAAAATTAAACCCAACTACCCAACACCCAACAAAAGTTTTTATAAAAGCTAACGCCAAGCTCTTTTGAGCTTATTCTAATGCTCGGATTACCACCAAACAAACCTTCATGGCATAATACATATCTATATATTTTTTTCATCAATGTTTTTAACTTTTATTCTTCTCTTTCAAATGAGAAGTCATTTATTCCATCAAAAAAATACTATTTAATTTAAAATAAAATTATTTATCGCCATAAAAATGTCAACACTTGAGGGGGCATAATAATATCGATTTATTCTATATTATATTGTATTATATTCTTCCTGTCATACACATATTTATTCTCTATACTTTTAAGCTTATTGATTTAATTAATACATATATATATATATATATATATATATATATATATATATATATATATATATATATAAAATTAAAATAATAAAACAACTTGTATAATTAGAGATTATGAGAGAGTTTGTGTTAATTAGTTAAAAATTGTGATAAAAATACCTGAAAAGTGTCTTGATTACTTAAATCAAATACAAGAACATAAGCCGTAGCACTCCTAAGTCCATAATACCTAAAATCCGTCCACTCTAAATGTGTACTGACTGGAAAGTACGGAATTGTTGGTAAATCCGTTATTTTAAGCTCATAGAGTCGATCTGCGTGGACTACGCTAGGATAAAATGTTTCTCGTCGTTCTGTTGGACGATAATCTTCAAAAAATTCATTCCAAACAAATTGCTGAAAATAAATAAATAAATTTTTTTATTTTTTAACAAGTAATCAAATACCCGCATAATATAGTATATATACAGAAATTCCGATAAACCATAATTTCTAAGGGGGATAAATGCGACGATATTATATATATTAAGATGTCGAGCCATTAAACGGAAATAACGTACTACGATTAAAAGGAAATTACTTTTCTATAGTTTATAAAGCTCAAATTATTACAATCAATCAAATTTCGTATTTTTATTTTAATTTTTTCAGTTAATAATACTATATATGTATTTTTTTTCTCATGATATATATATATATAATTTTTGTAAAATAATAGATATATGCAAATATAATTCAATTTGAAAAAAAGTAATAACAATAGAATTTGTAAATAATAAAAATCTTACACGTATAATACTGGATTTTCCAACACCAGGAGCTCCTAAAAAAATAACTTTAACACGATCAAGACTGTCTGCGGGGCTATCTTCCTCTTTAGAGCCACTGTCAACATTATCATCCCCTATCGTATCGCCGACTCGTCGTTCCAAATAATCCAAATCGAGATCTAAAAATCAAATATTCCTAAAATTCATATACTTTAATTATATTTAATAATTTATAATTAATATTATAAGTATTTTGAAAAATAATGAAACCTAAATAGACTTTCTCCTCTTTCCAGGCCACACAATTATCCATTTTTTAAAAAATTTATCTGCATCAAGATAACCATTTAAATGATAAAACTAAATAAATATTAATTTATTAGATTTTGTTATTCCTTTTATAAAATAATCAAACCCGGCTCTGCTGACACCAGCACAGCAGTACAACATTCTCACGTGAATTCCGCGAGTCGACTGACGACCCCAAACCCTAGAGAATATCGCACATGAGAGAATATGTCATTACCCATATCCCCTCTACGTATATTCTTCTTCAAATCCTTTGTATCTATAGTAAAAAAAATATTTTATGTTTATAAAATCATTATTATTAACATTTTTTTTTTTTTTTTTTTTTTTTTTTTTTTTTATAATTTTAACTGCTCATTTTTTTCTTATATATGAGCATTTTCTCATCCGCAGCCCTCAAGTATTATATTCTCGTCAGTTTCATTGTTGAGTCCAAGTATTCTCAAACTACACAAAAGTCTCTTGTTTTCAAGCAGCAAAAGTTATACTCTTATTTTTTTTCCCTACATATGATAAATTGTAATAAAATTCTATCATCGATATTAGATATTTTATAAGGTAATTAATTGATAATCGATTTATTTTAGTAAATATAACGAGAATAAGATAAAATAATTAACGATCCAAGTAGGCAAAACAAACAAAAAATTATAGTTAAATATTGATAATTTATATAGAGTAATCAAATGAATATTTATTAAAATTGAAAAATTCGTACGACATAATGCATGATATGTCAAAACAATATTCATTTATATAATGTGGATAAACGATAAAAAAAATTGACATATATATTATTATATTTATGTATATTGAAAAAGAGCCTGCTCAGGTCTACTCCATCTCTATCACTTCTTTTTATACTGATACATATTTAATTTATCACCTATTAATATATTCTTAGTATTATATGTATTAAGTTTTTTATAATTATTTTCAAGAATGATAACATCTTCAGGATTTTATTAATTATTTATTATCATTAACGAGATTCGGTTAATATTGATTTTCTTTTGATATGGTATGTATTATGAAAACGTAAAGTTATTAAATATTATATAGTGATATTACTTCTTGGAATATAATTTATAAAAGAAAAAAAATCTATTATTTTATCTATTAACGCAATTATGTGGCATTTATATTATTGATTTTATTTATGTCATAAATAAATTAAAGTTAATTAAAATTTTTTCAAAAAAATCATAATACTTACGACATTTTTGGTGAAGAGGTAGGCTTCGCCTCCTCTGTCTGTTAACCACTTTAGAACCTATTTTGATAATTATTCACTAATAATAATAATAGTAATAATCATTAATATCAACATCACAAAAATAGAGGTTAACAAAAATTTTGTTATAAAAAATTATTGCCATCAATTTGAACATTTCATCGTATATTGCTTTAACAATTTTGATTGTATAGTAACGCATAGTTATTGCTTTTATTTGAAACTAACATTATCAATATTAATATAATCATTACTAATATTTATTATTATTATTATTATTATTATTATTATTTTTATAAGATTATTTTATTATAACAACTAAACATTAATGGATAGACGATCGAAACTGGGCAAATACACTAGACTGTAGACTCCAGGCAACCCCTACTGGGCATGCGCTTCCATTACAATCCCTATTCTTATATTAAGAAGGGTTTAAATTTTTACCCTCTCTCACCCTCTATTGGACAAACGAAAGTATCTCTGTCATACTTGTACAGCTTATAAAATCTTAAAACGCATTTTATGCATAAATAAATGAAAATTTTCTGAAAAAACGCTTTGCTATTCGATAGATAATTAAATTATCTATCGAAGAGCGAAGCGTTTTTTTTCAAAAGTTCATCTTATTCATGAGCAAAACTCGTTTAAAAATCAACTATCAATAAGAATGACAAAAAAAAACTATTCAATTTACGAATAATGTTTGATAAAAAATAAACTATTACTGTCTATTTTATTATAAATTTTATAATAAAATAGTATTTTTGCTATTCGTCTGAAACTATCTAGTTCTGGTTGGCTCCAGACATTGAAACTAGCATTTTTAATGCAACTTATATGAAAAATATAATGTGTGACGCGGGATAAAACACGATTTCAGATCGAGTGATGCCAGCCCTCGCTTCGCTCGAGCAGGCAACTTCACTCTGGTTTGAAATCGTTTTGTTTCATCCCTCGTCACACAATATGCTATTTTTTGACACAAGAAATTTCACTTATCCCAACAAAATTAATTCTCTTGCTTCAAGAAATTCGTATCTTTAACAAAGAAAAAAAAAGTCAATGCTTTGTCCATCAAATCAAGGGCAATTCCATAAGCTTTCACATAAATTTTTTGAAAATTAGCTATCTTATTTCAATCGAAAGTTATTCATCAATGGTTATAACAAATTGGTTGTAACATACATCTACCTGTAATTGGTTGTAACGAAATCTACCTGATATTGTAAATACAAATAATTTAATAAAGTTTCATTGAGTGTCAAAGTTTTCTTTATAACAACAATTATTTCATGCTCTTTTATCCATTTCTTTTTGTTCCATTGATTAATAGAACATTTTTGAACTTAATCTTTTACAAGCAGCCATTACTTAATATACCATCAATATATAAAAATTCATATAATTATAACAGGTAACAATATTAAAATTAATCTTATAAAAGTCAAAATTAATTAAATAATGTAAATTGATAATTTAAATACATAAATTATTCTAGTTTTGAAACATGGTCGAGATAAATTATTTCTCTGCTTCGTATTTCTCCAGTAAGAAGCTTAGTTCCCGGACAATTGATCAAATAAAGTTGCCAATTGTAACAAACTCGCATTTCCATCAAATCATTTTCATTCTTCGCCTGTAATAAACAAAATTCATAAATAAATTCAATTATTTAAATAAATTTCAATTTTTTAAAATTAAGTGGAATTTTGAATCGATTTAAATATGTTTTTTTTTTTTTTTTTAAATAAAAAAGATATAATAATTATCATTATCCAATCCTTGACCTTTTAACAATAATAAAATCTTCCAAACAATATATAAAAATTTCTTCTCTTAATTCAACTATAAAAATTTGTATTTCGCGTCTTATAATAATCCGAAATGACGATGTGGGAGGTTATTACACTACCACTACATAAATAAATAATACAAAGGTATACTTTGGCAGGTTGATATAATTTATTAAATATTTAGATAATTTAAGGAGATCTCACAAATGTACTTAGATTACTTAGATAATTGTTATTATAATTAGTGTTATATGCGTCTACAGCTGTAGCGTGAGATTGTAAGTATTTTTCTGACCACCACTGGTCTTGGCGCTGCTGGTGCTGAGGTAGTTTCTCTGCTGGCCGTAGGTGCCGTCGAGGTTGCAACTCCCGTCACTGTGGCGTGACCGAGCTTATCGTGCCGCCACAACGACACTTTCTCTGAGGCCATCTCTCGGCATTCTCGAGTACTGACTTGCAAAATTTTCTTTATCAACCGAATTTCATATAATTTTTCCAAAATCAAAAGATGAAATATTGAAACAAATAAATAAATAAAAAATTTACCTTATTTTCGAAAACTTCAGCTCTAACATTGATCCAATGACATCATTGTCAATATCAACAATTTCACCATAAGTTATTTTATCTCCAACCTCTAACCCGCTGTTCATAAACATCCCCGCCATGTTAACTCTGCCCATTATGTATATTAACTGCCATTTTGAAGTACTTAAGATCGGAATAAATGAGACTAGATCGTGAAGCACAGGCATCATGTTTAGAGAACTCACGATCCCAGAAACAGGTCATAGATCAGCCGTGCTGCTTATAAGGACAAATTTTGAACTACAAACTGGTTCTTCAAACTGGTCTTGAGTCCTTTTTCTAGCTGGAACCAGCGCCGGTAGAAGAAGACAGACGTTCGCTTCTTGCAATTTTCGGAGACAGCTCTGGTGTAGGAACTAGCCCTTAATTCGTGCATCGACCACTTTAGCAAATTTATGTTATCATTGACCGGCTTGTTCTTGGACAGGTACTCAAAGCCCAGAGCCGGGGGCCAAAAAATGCTGAAGCTCAAGAAATTGACGCATTATTCTCCTGGTAAGCTGTCGTCTTTGCAGTTCTGGTCATTGACAGTGACTGGTGCATCTGGTACCAGAGGAAGATCATTCAGCTTTCTAGGTTCGAACCTTAGCCTCGACTGGACACGCTGGAACTCCCATACGACTGTTGAATAAGGTTGTATAAAATTATAGGAAACATTTACGTACTCTGATGGATATACTTTAGATAATGTTATAACAATAATTCCCATAATATCATAGGAATCATTGTCATACCAATATAGAAATAATTTCCATAATCGGGTGGGAACTATTTCTATCATATTATAAAAACCAGTCAATAATAGTGTAGGAATAATTTCGTTACCATTATGGGAATCTTTCTCATAATGCCATAATGTATAGGAAAGAAATTGGTATTTTTTATATTACACGAAATCTTATATGTCTCTTTGTTGAATCTCATATACTTCTTGTCTGTTACTAAATACAATAAATTATTTTTAAAATTCTTTCAATGTCAGTTTTCAACGTTACTTTTTCACATATTTATTTGTCAACAATCAATATCGTTTGAAATAATTATAATATTCTAGGTTGCATTAATTACCGGGAACAGTTAGGTATGAAGCAAAGCTCAAAGCACGTGCATATGATATTATTGATCTGAAATTTTTTTTTTGCATTCTTCCAATGACCATCGACTATTTTAATACTATTCTAATACAATTATTGTTCTAGGTATACATTGGGTATAAATATCGAAAGAAGAAGAAGAAGAAAAAGAACATAAAACAAAGTTTGGATCTGACAGTGGCATTAGTAGCGGCACCAGTCCTAATGATGCAAAAATTGATCAAGCCGAAGAAAGTTTGAAAAGATTTTCGAATACCCTGTACCGTTGTTTTTTGTCTAAAGTCGGTATAAAAGTCACGATTAAGAAAATATCATCCCTTCCCAAGAAGATGAATGGTTCCAACGGCTGTGGAATGAAAAGAAAAGCACCGGCACAGGGAGTACAAGATAGAATATTAAAGCGTTTTAATCGTTACAAGAGGCAAAAAAAAACTTTGTAAATTGTACTTGATTATAATCAAATAAGAATTGCTTCTTCATTGTAATCAATTTAAAATTTGATTATTTTATTTATGATTTTTAATTTGTTATTCTTATTATTTAAAAATTGATTTAATACTATTTTATTTTAATTTTTTTTTAATTTTACTATAAATTAAATAAGTAATTGTAAATAAATGTTCTTTCGGAGTTACTGTATACATATAACATAATAAAATATAAGTTAAATATTAATAGTTTTTTTTTTTTTATTTATTAGTTTATGAATTTTGAATCATTTTGGAAAGTTTTGAATTTTCTTGTTGTGAATTTTATTTATATATAAAGGACCTCCGAGTATTTTATAATGCACCGGTAAGTAATTTCAATTACATTTTTATAAAATGTAATTATATTTTGTAATATTCCTTAATATATAATAATACATATGCAATAGCATATAACAGAAAAAATTCAATACAATAATATTGAATCGAAAAAAATTGAATCAATTCTCTATTATTATTTCTGAACGAAATTGTTTTGGTAATTGACATTTTTATAATAATATAGTTTTGTAATTGAAGTTAAACAGAAGTTTAGTATATTCTTCTATTGTAAATGACTAACACAAAGTAATATAGCAAGATTTAGCTATAAAACTTCTTAAAATCTAATTAACATTGAAAAAAATTTCATACCTTCTTCTGAATATTAATAATAACATAAAATTGACATATGTCTTTTGAAAGCGCTTAGTAGAAAATAAATGCAAAAAACTATTTAGTATTATAAACTGATGATTAAATAGAATGGCCGCAATATTGTTGTAGAATTACAACAAAAAAAGTACAACAGTTGACTTGTAATGAGTAAATATGTATGCAAGTCGTCATCTTTTTTTCCGGTAAATAAAAAAAAAAACCTAAAATAAGAAGAAAAAAAAATTAATGAAAAAATTTTAATTTTTGTTTAAAACAATTATAATAATAATAATTAATTATTATAATAATCAAATTGGTGGCTGCATAATTAATTCCGAATTATTCATAAATTTTGATGTCTCTCCGAATTTTTTTCTTTTTATTATTAACAAGAAAAATTATATACCTAGTCCAGACTTTCTAATCTCCATGGTTTGGCATTAGATATATTGACAGCTATGATTTACTCTTCGATGGTTCATTACTTTTTCTTATTTCAAGCTATAAAAACCACGAATCGTTTTTTTTTTATCTCATCGTTATAAACTTTGGTGAATTTAATTCGACATTTTCATGTGAGCTTCTGGGAGAATTAAAAAATTGAATAATCTCATCGATGTTCCATGTGTAAACAATTGAGTGTTTTTCTGAATGGGAATAACCTTCAGCCTCTTTTTTATTACCGAAACTTTATTCATTGTCAGTTGACATTTTTCTTCTGGTCGGTATCTAATTATTATTTTTTTTATGTCCAGATTGAAATTTGTATTTAAACAACTAATATAATTATTAACACAATTTATTGAAATTGTTTTTCTACGATCATCACAACAAGATATTATTTCACGATTGCGCACCAACACCTGCGCGAGATTATGCGCGCCGGAAACTGCGCTGGTGGTGGATAAAGGAATGTGGAAGGAAATTTTTTTACATTGTTGGCTATAAAACCTAAAATTCAGAATAAGTGATTGAAAATGATTTATTGCAATTAAAGTTTATGCTTATGTTGGTACTTACTCATAATCGTCACAAATTATAGTCATTCATGTGTAGAACTTGTTCATCAGCTGTAGTCATGTACTTATATTAGTTATATTACCCAGATATACTTATATTCGGAAAAAAATATTATAGACAAATTGAGATAACGTGCTTATATAAAAAAAATAGCTTACATTTACTTATTTAGTTTCGAGAAGAGAACGATCGCCGTACTATACATGCACTGCAACTCATCTAATATTGGTAAAATTTTGTTACTTATTTATATGATAGTTTAATTAACAGACATCTATTTTTTAGATTTTTATATCAACTACATTATTATTAAATAATTTAAATAAAAAATTACAAATTTAGAAATTACAAAAAATTACAAGTACAAATTTTTTTTTACAATTGATTCGTAAAAAAAAAAAAAAAAGAACCGTCAGATGTCTACTGATTTCAGTATCATATTTATTTTTGTATTTTACAGCTTTCATAATAGTAATGTAAATAATTTTATTTTTACAGATTTAATACGAGAATAAGATCTAAAAGTTGGCTAGTTATTCATATTTATTGGGCCAATTCGATACAACATGGAAAATTTAAATATAACGGAAGGATATAGACTAGTTGAAGAATGGAAATCCATTAAAAAATGGAAAATAGAGAAATTTATTTCATTGATTCGTCTGTACAGCTATACTAAAGATTCTGACACTTTTCAATCTTTTTTTTCAAATCAAAAACCTGGTTTGGAAGCTTCTGATGGGGTAGATTGATTGAGTTGTGATTCTAAGGGTAAGATAGGGATTTTTAAAAAGTCATCGCCTCAAAATTGAAAGCCGCTGATTTTCCAGGAGATTAGCACCTTGAAGGAGGATAAGATTCTTATCGAAGATATATCAATTTTGGGAGGATTAAAATAAGTAGGTTTTTAGGAAAGTTGAAAATCATTTTTGTTATTTTTTATTGAAGGGAGGGTTACTGGGGATGTAGAGAAAGGTAGAAAATTTGTAATTTTGAAAATCAGAGCGTTAGAAGTACAAAAATTAAGGGTAGTTTCAAAAATGCTGCAAGAGATACTTAAATTTTGCAAGCTTTGAATTTTTTTGTTTTGAGAATATTTTAGAAAGTTATGGATTGTTTCGTTTGAAATTGAAGAGGAACTTATAAGAGAGCTAGGGGAAGGTAAAAAACTTGGAATTTTAGAAATTAAAGTGTTAGAAGTCACAAAACGGAGTATTGTTTTAAAAAAATGAGTAGAGAGCTTATAATGAAATTTGACGAGGGATTGTTTTGTTTTGGGGATATTTTGAAAAGTTATGGATTGTTTTGTTTAAAATTGAAGGGGGAGTTTTAAGGGAGCTAGGATGAGGTAAAAAAACTTGGAATTTTGAAGATTGGAGAGTTAGAAGTTAAAAAATTAAGGGTAGCTTAAAAAATACTGCAAAAGATATTTTAAATTTTGCAGATTCAGATTTTCTTTTCTTTTGGAAATATATTGGAAACTTATGGATTTTTTTGTTTGAAATTGAAGGGGAATATCTAAGGGAGCTAGCGGAAGGTAAAAAACTGGGAATTTTAGATATTGGATTATTAGAAGTCAAAAAATGGAGCATTGTTTTAAAAAAATGAGTAGAGAGCTTATAACGAAATTTGATGAGGAATTGATTTGTTTTGGGGATATTTTGAAAATTTATGGATTGTTTTGTTTGAAATTGAAGGGAGACTTATAAGGGAACTAGGAGGAGGTAAAAAACTTGGAATTTTGAAGATCGGATGATTAAAAGCCAAAAAACGGAGCAATGTTTCAAAAAAGGGGAACTTGTTTTGTTAAATCCTTTTAATTCAACATTGTTTATTTTGGGGATATTTTGGAAAGTTAGAAATTGTTTGACTTGCAATTGAAGGGGGGCTTACTAGAGGATTATAGAAAGATAAGAAATAAAAAATTTTAAATATCGGATGACTGGAAGGCACAAAAGAGAACATTGTTTCCAAAAAAATGGAATTTTGTAGATAAATTCACCCAATTCAAAATTTTTTATATTAAGCATATTTTGGAAAGTTACTTATTGTTTGACTTGCAATTGAAGGGGGGCTTATCGGAGACTTAGAGGGAAGTAAGGAATCCAAAATTTTCAAGATCAGATGATTTAAAGTTTCAAAAACGGTCTTAAAAAAATAAATAGAGCTTTTTTTAGCATGAATTGTGATCGTGGAGGTTGTTTATGAACTTCTTCAAGAAACTATGGGGTAGTTTGAAATAAAACTGAAGGAAAGTGTAGAGAGGAATTGGCAAAAGGGAAGAAATTTAGAATCTTGAAAGTAAATATCAATTTAGTCAATAAACTATCCGGTAAACAAAATTAGGAATAAATCGACCCTTTTTATCTGAACTGTTATCATTATCATTATGATTATTTGTATTCCTGGGTTTTTTTATGGGATCGACCTAGACAGCTTTTGACTTTTCGTTGGTACTTTTAGGCATTGAAAACCCTCGACACGTAGAATTATGTATTTACTTTGACATTATTTGCTTTTAGAGAGAAAACTTGCTACTCAGGGAGAAACGCGGTTCGAGCTGCAGTTTTCTCCCTTATAGAATAGAATCTACACAAATTCAGCTCTAACTTTATACCTTTCCACTCACCCTCATTTACTCAGTACACACATACTGTTTTAAACAAGCTTAGACGGCAAATACATTATTTACTTCCAAACTACGTTCGTTATTTTTAGAGTTATTTATTATTAATGTAATAAAGCTGATTTAATTATTCTTATCAAACTTTTTGTTTAATCAGTTTTAACTTATGTTCTTTGGGGCTATATTGTATGGATGTCATGTAATTAGATGATAAAATCTTTAGAGGTGTTCCTAGTTTAGGTACTTGAGGTTAATTGGTTTGGATTTATCTCAATATTATACTCTATTTCCAACATTTATAACTAGGAGAAAAAATTTGAATTTTAGTTTGTAATTTTGGAAGTGAAAAAAAAATCTCAAAAAAAATTTTTTTTATGTCTTTAGCTAAAGCATCTTAAAGAAGGGTTCTCAAGCTTTGAAACGATCTATGATATTTAATTATTATATTAAAATTACTAATTATTTTCAACGCCCCCAATGAGAAGAAAAAAATCAAAAATTCAGTTTTTGACTTTTGAAGCTCGAAAAAAATTTCCAGAAAATTTTTTTTCATGTCTTTAGCTATAGGATCTTGAAGTAAGATTCTCAAGCTTCAAAACCATGTATGATACTTAATAATTATATCAATATTAAGCTTGATTTTCAGGGCCTCTAATTAGAAGATAAAATTGAAAAATTTTTTTTTCATTTTTGAAGTTAAAAAAAATTACAAAAAAATTTTTTTTTCATGTCTTCGGCTGAAGCATCTTAAAGTAGAGTTTTCAAGCTTTAAAATCATGCATCATATTTATTTATTACCTCAAAATTACTCTTCATTTTCAACGCCCCCACTTAAAAGAAGAAAAATCAATAATTTATTTTTTAATATTTGAAGCATCAAAAACATTCTAAAAAAATTTTTTTTCATGTCTTCGGCACAGACATCTTAAAGAAGGGTTCTCAACCTTAAAAACCATGGGTCATATTTGAGTATTACTTTAAAATTACTAATTATTTTCAACATCCCCAATTAGAAGAAAAAAAATCAAAAATTTAGTTTTTGATTTTTGAAGCTCGAAAAAAATTCCCAAAAAATTTTTTTTCATGTCTTTGCTTATAGGATCTTAAAGTAGGATCAAGATAACAACTTAGTACCTTGCACTGGACCATATGAAATATTTAATTTGCAACCTCAAGGTAAGAAAGTATACAAACGAAGAAGGACTATTGAGGTGGAATACGAGAAAGATGAGATAGAAGAAAATGCTCAATCTAAGGATTTACCGTCTCAAGAACATGACATTTATACACAAGCAATACATAAACAAAATGCAGTAGAAATGTTACAGGACCAAGACGCCATTCAATCTCAGCCAATAATTGTTAGCCCTTCTCAAAATAATAATACAATACTTTCAATAGAACAACAGGGTGGGGCAAATATGACACAACTCCGTAATTTCATTAAGGACATTATTAAACAAGAATTCAGGGAATTAAAATCTCATATGGAAGAGATGATAGTATCTGAAACTGTTAAAATTACGGAAAACATAAAAAAAGAACTTATAAACACGAAAAATGAGGGCACTTCATCGTCAAGTACGAATCAACAGTCTCATAGCCAAGGTTTAAATGTTATTGAAAACTTAACACCAAGTCAGAAAAACCATCTAAATTTATCAGAAACCGATCGGATCTTGATAAGACCATTACAATATCAACGATGTCGAGATACTCTAGATAAACTTGAGAAAAATATTGATGTAATCAAGATGGGAGTAGGTGTGGAAAACATTGTGGCAAAACCGAATGGTCAAATTATCATTGATGTGGATCGAAATAAAAATAGAGAAGTTTTTACAGCTGAACTCAAAAAAACTCTTGGTGATAACTTCAAAGTATCTACAGCTAAGAAAAATTTACCAAAAATTAAAGTGATTGGTTTGGATAAAGATCTGTTACAGATGGAAGAAAAGGAGTTTATTAATGTTCTATGTAAACAAAATAAATTAGATTTTGTATCAGATACTCCTCGTGACAATTTGAGTTCCTGTAATATTGAAAAGAACACTAGTGTCAGTGATAACAATAATATCAATATAAATTCTTGTCAAGCAAATAATAGTGATAATTTTAATAGTGATAGTAGTAGTAGTAAAAATGTTGAAATTATTAAAAGGTACTTTACCAAAAATGAATATGGATCAGCTCTAATTGCAGTTAGCCCCGAGATTCATAAACAGATATTGAAAAATAATAAAATCAAAATAGGGTGGAGAAATTACAAAGTGTATGATTACATCAATGTCATAAGGTGTTTTAATTGTTGGGGATTCAACCATTATAGAGACAAATGTAGTAGACAAGCAGTATGTAGAATATGTGCAGATCATCACAATGATAACGAATGTACAAGTAATGTTAAGAAATGTATTAATTGTGAAGGTATGAATCGTAAACATGAAAATGTATGTGAAGTAGATCATGAGGCAACAGACCTAAATTGTTATTGTTATAATAAAGTAGTAAACAAAATTAAACTTAATCTTATAAAAGGTAGACAATAATATCTATGGTCTGATAGAACACAAAAAAGTAATCATGATAATTTAAAACTAATTTTGTTAAATGTATGTGGCCTTTTGAGGTGCAAAGATGAATTAGAAAATTGGATTAGTTCGATCAGACCTGATATTATAAGTCTTACAGAAACTCATACTACGATAGATATACCAGATAACGAAATATCTTTTAAAAACTATAATATGTCTAGAACTGACTCCGAAAATCACAGGACTGGAGGAGTTCTAACGTATGTAAAAAAAGGTATAAATTTTAAATGTACAAAGACGGTATCTAACGAGGGTACATGGTTAAATATTGTTAATATTAATGTTAATAACGGGTTAACTATTTGTAATTTATATCGATCGCCAAGTAGTTCTGTTAGCAAATTCTGTGACACTATAAATAAATTAATAGATGAATTAAACGAAAATAATAATGATTTGATGATTGTTGGCGATTTTAACATAGATGTAAACAATAAAGTTAACTATAGTAAAAAATTATTGAATGAATTGGAATTACTAGGACTCAAGCAACAAGTACATTCTCAAACTAGGGTGACTCTGACATCTGAAACTATTATTGATCTAATTTTTAGTAATTTTACTATTATTATTATTATAAAGCGATTTATAAATCGCTTCGTACATTTAAAAGTTGTGAATTCACGAAGTATATAAAGATAGTTGCTTACACTTTAACCACCTTCTATTTCCCTCTATAACGAC